CTTGCTGTACAAGCAATCACGGAGAGCTGTTTTGGATGGTATGTCTTCTGGCCTCATCCGTCCCAGAACTTCCAACCACGTCTGCTTGAACGTATGAAGCTTGTTGTCGCCTTGGTACTGGAGCTTCACCAGATACTCGAGAGTGATGATCATGTCGAGACGATCATGCGTTCGAAAGCTTTCATACATCATCGCAATGATTTGTCGTCCTTTGATGATCTTCCCTTCGGGCCTGCTGATGTAATCGTTGGCCTTCCGGTTCACCTCCAGGTACAGGTCAGCAGATTTGTCACCACCAGCACGTAGCATTGCGACCATTGCGATCCCCAATTTGACGTCTACGCTCTTAAACTTCTTGTGTCCTGAATCGTTCAGTGCTTCGACATCAGGGAATGGGTTGAATGCTGGTGCCAGCCATAACATCCAGTCCTCATGATTTGGATCGGCTGATGCTCCTAAGACATTCGCCGTGCATACGGATCGCCAGTTGTTGAGGTGAGTGAGAGTAGGCCATGGAGGTACGGTCACTTTGTCGGCCTCCCTCCTGGAAATTCTCACTTCCGTGACTTCAGGATCTGCGTCTCCATCAGGATCACGCGCATGAGATCCAGGATCCGATTCAGGTTTGCCTCCACCGCTTTTCTTCTTATCATCATCATCATCAGGCGGGTCAGGAGGGTCATACCCCGTGCCGGTTCCTTCATCATGCTCTCCATCTTCATTCTCGTCGCCAGCTTCGTCACCGTCATCGTCTCCATTATCCTCCTGAATCGTTTCAGCGAATAATCTCCACTCATCACGATCAGCTCTGAGACGTTGTTCGGCTTTCTGGGCCTTGAGTACTTCGCTTCGCAGATCGGCAATCTTCTCCTCGTACCGTTCCGCGACCTCTTTCTCGATCTGACGTCTCCTTGCTTCATGAATGGAATCGTCATAGGCAATAGGGGGACCGATGAGGTCGTTGCCCTTCGTAGATGCGGTGATACCGTCGACACCAACAGGTCTTGAGGAGCTGGCAGATGCTGTGGACTTCGATCCCAACATCCCGCGATCCTCCAAGAGTTCGCGTAGCTGTCGATCACGCACGGCTGCCGCATCACTTTTCCCATGAAATCCGCTTGGTATGCCGAACAAAGTGGCTGCACTAGGCGTGGAACGCGCAAGTGCTGGGCTGCTAATACCTGGCACGTAGTGCTCGGGCATTGCATCCGCCACGATTGGCATTGAATTGCGGCCAGTGAAGAAGTTTCCACCGGTGAATGGAATTCCATCCATCACAAGGTTCTTGTCCTTGTCCGATTCCGAGAATGCGAACTTCTCTTTGGCGACTGGACTAACTTGACTTGGGGACCGTATTTCAGGGGATCGTACCTCACCTCCTACGGAAAATGCAGGCACTACTTCCTTTCCTACGTGCTCCCAGCCAGACTCAGTAGTCCTCGAAGACATGGGCATGCTTGAAGGCCGTGTCGCTCCTCCATAATTGGAGTTTCGCGCCGCCTCCAATTCGCTGCGTGTCCTCGCTTGAAGATCTTCTTGTGCTTTGAGCGTTTTTCTGAGTTCACTCAGCTCGTCGTGCAAGGTAGGCAATGCTCGCCTTGCATGATCTTCATTCTGATGAAGTCGGTCCTCTGCATCTTGCATCCTCTTCACGGCCATTTTGCGGTACTCTTCCTCTTCACCAAGACGTTCGCGAAGCCGAAATCGTTCTTGATCAATGGCTGCGCTGTTTCCAGCTAGCCCTTGGATCTCGTTCACGGCCCGCAACTCCTGGTTCTTGACCAAGTGGAATCGTTCCTGCATTGCTTGTAATGCTTGTTCCGAACTTGCTGTGTTCGACCGGAGGACCAAGTTCTCTCTGGCATGTTCATGAAGTTCATGAGTCAGACGCTCATACTCACGTGCCATAAGCTCACCATCGCCTTGCGCTCTTGCCTCCAACTGCACAAAGTTAGTGGCTGCCTCCGTGCGGAACACGTGTAGCTGTTGAGCTAACTCCTCGGCAACGGCATGTGCTTGACGTTGTTGAGCAGAGTTCTGTTCATCCATGCGAAACAAAGCTGTTTCATAGTCTCGCTTCATCTCCTGATTGACATTGTTGATGTGCCTCATGGCTAAGCATGCATGGTCACGTTGTCGTTCCAATTCTTCAATGCGAATTCCAGATCCTTCATCTTCTTGTTGCATCTCCTTGATCTTGTCCATCAGGGTCTGAACAACTCCTTCGTACTCTTGCATCTGACTGCGATAGTACATCTGCTGCGCAAGGTTAGATGCTTCGAGCTGTTGCGAAATCGTCAGTTCCTGATAGGCATTCGGACCATCGGCTATGGCTGGCGTGGTCACCGATGACGCATCACCACGTGCTGGGATAGTGTCCAGAGTCATATCCAGATCGTCAGCATCACGTGGTTGATTGGTAACCATCCGATTCCAAGTCATGGATTTGTCACGCCCACGAGTAGCCGAAGTCCTCGATCGTGCTGAAGAGCTTCTCGAAGATGATGGTCTCGACTTCTTTTCCAAGGTCTTCACTCCTTTGTCCTTGGCCCTGGACGTAGTCCGAGGTGCCTGAAAACCAGACGCTTCGGCTCGTCGTTCGGGAGCCTTGCCCGTCCTCGAACCTGTGGATGTCGGACGCGAAGGCGTAGATGCTCTTGGTAGACTCTTTGCTTTCACCTTGGGAACTGCCTTTGCAATGGCAAGCGCAGAAGATTGACCTTTGTCATCTTCCGTGGAGCTATCAACGGATTGCACCACTGTGTCATCAGCTGTTGACTCACCAACGGCTGGCGCTGCCACATCGGCACCGAAAGTCATTGTCGTATCTTGGCTTGATCCCGAGTTCATTGTGGTCGTAGTAGATCAAGTAGTCGTTGCTGTAGAAAGGCAGAGCCGCGTACGGCTGATAACCTGCGTGGGGGATTGATCTCGACTAGGTTGCTGCTCTCCCCACCAGAGCTGTAATGAATGTAGGTGTGGCTGGCTTGCACTCTCCACAGACTGGACCCTGTCTCTCTTACACTTCCACGCGTGCAATCCTATGCAGGCAGAACCGGCGGCCGTTCCTTTTGCACTCACTGCCGGCGGCGGTTCGTCTGTGCAACGGGATAGCTCTGATTGCTCAGGATAGAAGACACTTATAGCACTTAGCTATGGGCATTGACTTGAGCCAAACGTTGCGTGGGCGGTCACATAGAAAGGTAAAGATGAGGGACGCGTAGCGTGCCCCCTTAGAGTCGAGGGACGCGTAGCGTGCCCCCTTCTCTTGCACTTTACACGGTCTTGCTCACAGCTCTTATAGTGACACCTTAGAACTTGACAAGGCATCGCAGTCCGTTCGCAAAAAATGTAGTTTAATATTATTATAAGGATAATATTGAATTTCATTAAAGGGAGCTTGTCCCAGACCACGAAAAAACTTAACACAAAACGGCTTAAAGGTATGAGACCTTATTAGATTAGTGATGAATTACTCTGATTTAAAAACTTATACCAGAACTCAGGCTAAGTATATTAGAAAAATATTTCAAATAAGGACAGTCCAAGACGAATACAAAGGTAAGATATGTGAGCTTACTGAATTAAAACAAATTTACAAAAATGAATTCGATGAAGATGATTTTAAAAATATTGAAGAGGATATACAAAAGCTAAACAGAGATGGCTCCTTTTTGGCTCTGCTGAACGTGATGTCCCATGTGCACAGCGACGGAAATGTACATGAACTGGAGCTATGCACAACAGACGCGTCCGAAATGAACATCTGCAGCTGAAGAGGAGCATCTTCGATGCACGATCTGCTGCTTCACGGGCGGCCGAGGGAGGGCGAAAGAGCTGCAGCACCGCAGGTCTCACTCGCAATCTCTGCAAGTCAGAGATGGCTCCTTTTTGGCTCTGCTGAACGTGATGTCCCATGTGCACAGCGACGGAAATGTACATGAACTGGAGCTATGCACAACAGACGCGTCCGAAATGAACATCTGCAGCTGAAGAGGAGCATCTTCGATGCACGATCTGCTGCTTCCGCCTATGTCACGTACTACTGCCGCTGCTGCGTGCAGGAGGGTTTTTGCTGAATGACGACTGAGAGGAGAGCATCTGCATGTTGAGCCAGCTCTGAAATCTGGGATCGTTGACTCTGGGTCAATCCGGTCATCAGGAGCTGTCCCGCGACATCCTGCAGATAAAACTCAAGTGTCCGCTTCTGCTGCCAGCGTCCACGCCACTGGATCCTGTCGATGTCTTCCGTGCGCTGGTAAAGCCAAGTTGCCCCAGAACCTCGCAAGCTCTTGGGAGTCACTCCCTCTTCCGCTTCCAGCACAGGCACGTGAAGATGCGAAAAGACAGCGTTCCAGCGAGCCCTGAAAACAGCTGGCGAGCACCCAAACAGAGGAGCATCATAATCCATATCCTCGAACAGAGCGCTGAGGAACTGAACCGAAAGAGAATCTGAAATCTTCGCATGCTGTCTCTGAATCAGGCGACTTGTTTTTGAATGTAAAATCCTCACGTAGGCCAGCGGAACAGCGCAGAGAAGATCGCTTGGGAGGATAAGGTCTCGACGCCTCAGACCTAGAATTTCCCCCGGCCTGAGTAGACCGTGGAAACCCAGAAGCAGCGCGGCCGTAAAGATCGGCCAGCCCCACAAAAGGCTCACGGAGACGGCGGCTCGAAAGAGAGCCTCGGGCACAACCATGCCTCGAGAGGAAGGCTCCTCCTCCTGCCAGCGAGTCAGTACCGCCCAGGCGCCAGCCAGTGTGGATTTATGGTGTTTGAAGCGGTCACAAACAGAGTTTAGCGTCTCAGAAAAAAGGTACCTAGGCGAACCACTATAAAAGAGAAACTTCCCATACCCGATCAACGCCGTTGCTAAAAGCAGACCAGAGCAACTGATTCTTGCAAAATCGCAGTCCAGCTCACCCTCCACCCACGAGACGAAGTCGGCGTAGAGTGTGTCGCGCCTCTTTCGCACAGCAGGGGTGAGCCCAGCTTGAACTTCAAGGTTGACGCCCAGCCTGTCCGCCAGATCGCGGCGCTTCGCACGAGGCATTCAGAATGTCCAACGCCACACTGAGGGCCGCCAGTCTAGCCCAACCATCCAAAGGCTGGGCGCAGCTGTCGGCGCGGCGGACTATGTCGAACAAGGTGAACTGTCCTGCCAGAGACTGCCGCAGCCACAGCGGCCGCTGCTGAGGACAGCTCTCCCGAAGAGCGGTCAAGCGTGAAGGGTCATCTGAAGGATTATCTCGGGTGCCTATATGAAAATAGTGGGGGTACAGGTTGCAACCGGCGACGTAGGGAAGGGCAGTGCTCAAGTAGAAATTCAACTTCTGACTACTTGACCGGCCTTTGGAGTTGCAGCCTATAACGACCCTGCTATCTAAAAGGACCCCGAACCTAGAATCTGGACTGGTCTTGCCAGCGTGTTTGAGCAAGCTCCTCAAAGAAAGTTCTTCATTTATGTTTATGTGATTCTGCTTTTTGAAGCGATATTGCAGCAGCACTCGCCAGGAGAGACATGAGCCGAGGTCTCCGATCCAACGAGGTGGTGAATGAGCCGGGCGTTTGAAATCAGCTACACCCCTTTTGAGTTCGGCGATGTGAGGCCTCATGCATTCTACAAAGCGATCACTGAAGGGCAGCGGGTATGTGGCTGAAAACATCCGCACTGCTTCACCAAGCTTGGGCTCACGGCCAAAGACACTGAAACAGTCGGGTTTGCAACGCAGCCTGAACTTTTTGAGGGACTCTTGGCTGAAAGAAGCTTCGACCCGGAGGTGCGGTTCGGCAGACGAGCACGTGCACCGGCATGCGAGGCTGAGCGGCCCACTGCGGTTTATTAGCCAATGTGAGCTCTGCTTGTAGGGAGTCCCGAAAGAACAGAAGGTAACCTTAAGGCTCGAGTAACCCTTGCTGAAGAGACGCTGAAACACCTCAAGACGGTACATGACTGAACCGAGGGGCTGCTCACAGGAAGCAGCCAAGCCATGCGCGGAGCACAAGTGCAGAAGGAAGGCCGCTCTCCGAGCTAGCCTGGTGTCCTCGCACGACTCCTGGTGAGACGCTTCAAAGCCTGAAGGTAGAGTCTTGCTGCGAGTGCGGGGACGGTACGAGTTCCCAAAAGATCTACACCGGGGGGCTATATGAAAGTAAGCAACAACACGCCTACAGATAAGCCCGATGATGTGCAGCATGGTATTAGGTGCAGCGTGCGATCCCGGACCCTCGCAAGCAAAGTCAAACCCGGGGTGGACGCAAAACCCTCTGTCTCTGAAGGAGGCACTGAGCCCGCTCCCAACTCGACCTACTTCGCAAAAGTCGAAAAGGATGCCCTCAGCTAAAGTCCTCGGGACGCTTTCGGGAGAGTCGTCAACTAAACCTGGGGGCAAGTTGAAATGCTCTAGGTAAGCGGCAACCTGAGGCTTAAGGTGCGTATGGAAGCCCTTATGGTCCGCGTGACGGAGCAGCTCAAGACAGACCTCCGGTCTCAGAGAGGATTCGCACACCCCTGCTGCAAAAGATGATGCGTCGGTGCAAAACACACGGCCCAGCGGGTGAGCACGAAGATCTGTGGCCATGCAAGGTGCGAACAGAGTGAGCAACAAGAGCTCCTGTCGGGAGTCATGGCTTAAAGGGAAGACCTCGCCATCCTTATGCTGCGCAATATCGTGATATAATTGGGTGATGAGACACATGAAGGGCCTGCGGAACATCGCGACAAACACCCAAGAACCTACAATACTGGCTAGGATCTCCTTCGTGCTGAACCCGAGCACGGCAAGCTGAAACGTAAGAGCACACAAGACGGTGGTTTTCAGCTTCGGAGCTGATAACGTGCCGGCCTCGCCATCTATCTGACCCCCAAGAACAGTAGCACGATATGCGTTGCGGATGGCTTTCTTAGGCGCAGTGCGAAGGCCGGCTTTTGTGTACATGCGAGCTGCTCGTGCGAACAAGGCGAGGTCGGCACGGTTTACATCAGGGACCCTGCGTGCCTCAAGCTTGGAGACCAGCAACAAGTATGCATGGTCATCAATACATAGTAGCTCAAATCCGGGACCTCTAGGAATCGGATGTTTGTAAGCTACCTGCTCTGAGCTTTTGAGGCAAGACGCCCGGCGCAACAAAACGGTATGAGCATGTTGAGCGGTTTCCACCGCGTAGCTGGTTCCCATGGCTAAGCTTTTGAAGCAGCCGACTACGGGTTTATCATCAAGTTCAGGCTTGTAAGCTCTAAAGCCCCTAAAGTCAGAACCTCGAAACACTCCGTGAATGTGGTTCCTAGCGGCATGCTCATCCGAAATGACAAAGCCGTGATAGAAATCTTTGAGATCGTCAGACCCTACAACCAAATTTTGAGTAGGACCAATGTAGATCTGTCCCAGCAGGCAAGCGTGAGCGAGCGACAGCGTGGAATCAGATATAGAAAAGCATCGGGCATTTTCGGGGATTGGGTTGAGGATCTGACGGTCCACAGTGTCACTCTTGTATACGGCAAACAAGCCGCATCTGTACCTGACCTCAGACGAAGAAGCAGGAAGGAGGAAAAGTGACTCCACATCATCCCATTTGCGATATAGCTCGAACTGTTGATCACGGGATGCCATAACCCGAGCTCGCTTCGTCTTCGGCCACTGCGAGGCGGGACGCAACAATGCATAGGGGTCAAGGTAAGCACTCTTTAGCAATGGATCAACCAAGTACGGGCTGGCATTAAACCTCGGCGGGGTGTCAAACACTAGCCTATCGGGGTTGATGCGTAAAGAGGTTGAGGCGGGGCCTAGCCTAAAACCTGAAGAGGGGGGTTGTGATGCAGGTTGCGAGGGCCCGTCGCCCCGGGATGAGCGCTCCGGCCCATCAGGCTCATACGCATCGGCAGGAGAAGCAGTGCACTTGCTACGCGTACTGTAAGGCTGAAACTGCGCATAAAGGGCACTGCTACGATGCCGAAGGTCATTCAACTGATCCTCAAGAAGAGAAAACTTCTGAACTGCACGATCTAGTTCGCGTCTAGGTCCGGAACCTAGGCAAACCCAAGCTGAAACCTGCTTCTCAAGCCGATGGATCATTGCGGCTTGCGCGGTGCTCAAAGGCAGCGGGGCAAGCGCGGGGTGCTCAGGACGGCCACTCACAAGAAAGTTGCCCGCAGCCACAAGTAGGCGGGTCCAATTGCGTCGGTGGTGCCGGAGCGCCCAGCGCGCCCTGCGCCGGCCCGAAAGCCTCGTACGAGGGGCGGGCACTGGAGCAGGAAGAGAGCAGGGCCAAAGCTCGGAGGAATGCTGCGAGGCAGCACTCAAAACTGGTAGAGCGCTTGCTCGCCGGATATAATTAGACAGCCTAGTGCGCGACCTGCCCAAAAACTTAAGCACGCATGAACACAATGCTGAAGCAGACAGGGTGCTGTCCAAACCTGGCGGCAATACATCAGGAAGAAAGAAAGGCCCAGGCCTCATGCCTGAGCGTTGGCCGATTGGCCGGTGCCGTCTTTCGGGGGCCGTCTGCGGCCCTTGCCCTTTGGTTCGTCGGCCGCCTGGCCGGTGCCTTGACTGCTGCCGGGCGGCTGCTGGCTCCTGAAGGTCCGGTCTTGGATCTGTTCCACGTCCCGCAGGTAGGCCAGCTGAGCCGCAACCCATCGGGGATCTGAGAGAGCCCCGTGAGGGACCTCGCTCCGAGGAGTGCGCCGGTTATCCACCAGACAGAAGGGTGGGTCCTCCCTGCACGAGAGAAGCCAGGCCAGTCTGGTCGAGCCCTGTTCGTTCGCTACCTGTTCGCAAAACACCAGACCTAGGGACACTAAGGCCATCAGCTCCTCGGAATTGTTGTGCTCGATCGCTTCCCACATGTCGCACAGCAGGAAGGACAGGTAGGTCAGCGTCTTGTAATTGCCGAGGGGTACGACTTCCTGGAAGTGAAGGAACATGTCCCTGGCCTCGAGCTGCGTAGCAGAAGTCTTCCTGCGCGCCTGAGCTAGACGATCCCGCACCCCAGTGTAAACGGCGAGCGGATTGCGCTGAAACTGCTCGCGAAGCAACTGGCGGGCGGCCATGCCCCGGACACCGGGGAACTTTGACCCGTCCTCCGAAGAGCTCCCCGAGCCCAGGAGGTGCATCGGGTCTTTCGCCTTCTGTGCTGAGGCGGCCAGCTGTGAGAGGATGGCCGTCTGCTGAGTGAGCAGTTGCCCTAGCAACTGGCCGCTTGCGCCCGCCCCGACATCCGCGGGGACGGCCTCGGCCTCCTCGCCCTCCTCTGGGACGATTACGGGAGTCACGGAAGCCTTTGGGAACTGGAAGCGGGCCTTTGGTCGGGCTCCCACAGCAGCCGCTGGTGCCAGGCCAGCTGCATGAATCCCAGCACTCGGGCCGGGTAAGTCCTGGAGGAGCTTCGGGCCACGACCTGCTAAGGACACCAAACGATCCAGCTGCTCTGCACCTAGCTGCTCCCGGGCTCCTTCCTGGAACAATTGCGGCGCCCACGCCGGTAGTTCTGATCTGGCGCCGGCTGGATCTGGGGCTGGAGACCGCTGTGACTCCAGAGTGTGCAGCCGCCGCTCCACGGAGTCTAAGGTGGTGAGCCGCGACTGCATGCCTGCCAGAACCTGTGCTTGTTCCGAGCTCTGCGACAAAAGCCGATGGAAGATGTCATTGTGAGAAGCTGCGGCCCCCGGGGCAGGATCCGGCGCCTCGAACTCCGAGCCGGCGGTGAAGTAGCCTTCCAGTCGTTCTGCACTCTCGCCAGCTAACTCCTCCCCATTGAGGAAGACCTCCAAAGCTTCGAGAGCGCCTCTGGCTGAGGGCCAAACGGTCTGTAGACGATAAGTCCCAAAGTTGATTACCGCGTCCGCTTCGGAGGGAAGAACCTCGACAAGAAAGTCGGTACCGGCACTAGCGATGTCGACCAGAAGGCAAGGCACTGTTTTCACTAGTTCGCGGCCGGCAACAGAGACTGCTCGCACTGGAACAGCAGTCCATGGACCGAAAACCCCAGCGAATTGACCGGCTGAAGCCTCCTGAAGGTCCTCCTCGGGGATAGCCAGCGGGGGCAAGCAAAGCATAAACCCAGAGTCCACGGCCCGCACGATAAAGCAATGTGCGGTCACACCTGCGCGTACAAAATGCAGCTTGGTATAGCCGCCTTGGTCGCTGGCGGTGCGCCATGCTCCAAGGTAATCGGGCCGCGAGGGCCCAGACATCACGGCAAGCGGCGAGGCAAGCCACCTAGGCCTGCTCCGCAGCAAAAGGCTTCCGCTTCGGCAAAGCTTGCAAACCCGTGAGACACCGAGATGGGGTCCCAAGTGTCCCCAGGCTGGTTCTTCACAATCCGAAGATAATACCCAAGGTCACAAGTGATAAAAGGTTCCGAAACAGCACTGCCGAAGAGAACCACGTACACCACCTTGCGGCCGCCGGCTTGACGACCACTGAAGTAGCCACTGTCCCCGCGAACCTTTGCAGCGGCCTCGCGACCACTCGCGTAAGCGATCCGAATGCGTTCGTTCGGCCCGTGGCCGTTGACAGCAGAGCGGAGCTGCGAAGCCAGAGCAGTGACCTGAGAAGGGGCGGTAGCCTCGGTGTCAAGAAGGGCCCACGAGGGGACCACAGCAGGCCGATCGGCAGTGGAAGCAGCTGGTGGCCTGATTGTAGAAGAACTCCCTGAAGTAGTATCCGGAGCCCCGTGGGAGATGACGGTGACGTTGATCGTGAGGTTGCCCAGCCGTTCGGTGAGATTCAAAATCTCGTCCTGATCAGTCCCGGTGTGCATGCACAGGGCGATACCTGGCCAGGCGGTTTCCAGCAGGGGGGGCTTGAGGTTGCAGCTCGCGCACCACCACCCCAAGGCAGGCCCAGCCAATTGATCGAGCAGATGGGCTGGTGATCAAAAGGACGCAGAAAGCGCCGCAGAAGAAGCCCGCAACCTATGGCGAGAAGGATCAGATCAGAAGAGCTCCTGGCGGGACAACCTAAGAAGGCCCACAGGAAGCCCCAGGGGTCAAAGCGATCAAACATTCAGGGCCGAAAGAGCTGCAGCACCGCAGGTCTCACTCGCAATCTCTGCAAGTCAACGATATAAATAATGCCGAGAAGTTTATCAACAAATGGATTGAAATGATTGAACACATTGAAATACTTTGTCATTGCTACGGTGGTTCAGGAGAAACCGAATACTTAAAACGAAAGCCAGAAGGAGGCAACACATGGGTAGATATGACACTGAAAGATTTTGAAAACCGATATGGTCGTAATCTTGAAAATTTAGGCGAAACAGATGAGTCCGAAATGGAAAGCACCACAAGCACGAAAAGAAAACAGAAGAAGAAGGGAAAACAATAGGAAGATAACTTCATAAAATGTAGTTTAATATTATAACAATATAATATTAAATTTCATTAGAGGGCACGCTCGTTAGAGCCTTGTTATGTAAAAACAACCTTGCCCCAAGATCGGCTTATTGTTATTCTTGGGTTTTACGGGTTAGGGTTTTGGGTTGAGGAATAGCGGGGATTTATGGGGGAAGGTGTTTTTTCTTGGGTTTAGGCTTGGGATTTTGGGGATATGGTTTTACTGGGATTTACGGCTTGGGTTTTTGGCTTGGGATTTTGGGCTAAGGAATAACGGGGATTTGGGAACATGGTTTTACCGGTTGATATTTGGCTTATGGGTATAACGGGGTTTTGGGAATATGGTTTTCGGGAATTTTAGGTTGAGATTTGGGCGCCGAGTTGGCGGAATGGTTCCATAGATTTGTGGGGCAAGGTGTCTTGTAAGTTCCGGCGCCTCCCCTCTTGTACTCCTTGGGGTCGTCTTCGTCCGAGTGTTCCGGGGACGAACTGCCCTGGCCAGGGAACTTCCGGGCAAGCACAGCACTGCACAGCACAGGTCTGAGGACCGGGCATCACTGCCGTAACTACTTTCGGAATAACTCGAGCTCCGCGTTGAGCTCCGACGAACTGGCGCTGAGGCTCAAGCTAAGACAGACAGCCGACATCACGCACCACGCTAAGACCACGCTGCCCGTGCCTGGCTTCGCCGGTGGCTTCTTCTTTCCCTTCGCTTTCCGCGGGATCTGCCGGAGCACAGCAGCAAACGCAGCTGAGGGCAGCTGTCTCAGAGGCTAAAGCGGCTAAAGGAGGCGTGGCTCGCGCCTTGGTCCGCCGCGGCGGAGGCATCTCGGCGGCCCCGTGCCCTCTGTGTTTAGAGGCTTCCTCTGTTTGTGCGTGGGATGCTGTGGGATGCTGTGGGCTTAGGGGGAGATGCTCTCTGCCTGCCTACCTGCCTGGTTGCCTGGTTGTGTCGTGCTTGCGGCGCTTTCGGTGTGCAATTGTACGTGGATCGGCAGCCATTAGTGAAGGATGTGAAGGCGCATGCTCCAGGTCCGTGCGCCTTTTGGTGCATGACGTGCTGTCAACGCTGCAATCACGGACAGCAGCATTCAACTCAGACCTTCCTGCCCAATAGTTCAAAGGCAGCCGGAGATACTCGCACACCTTCCGGGTTCTCTGACCTTCCGGACATGCTTTTTCCACAGCTGCACAGTGTCAGCGGGCTAGGCTTCTCGGGTGGCATCGTGCTTTGCCTCGAGTCACCTGGTGGAGGCACAGGCAGAGCTGCATTCGGGTTGAGGTCGCAGCATCTTCACAGGCGCTTCGTGGACAGCCGTCACGAGCTCCGAGGCAATTGCGCATTGCAGGTTGCCTGCAAGGTCACGAAGACCTCGCGGTCGCGTACACCGTCTGAACGACGCCGCAAGAGCTCCCCCGTGTCGTCTAGGTCAGTCAGGAGTTGAGCACCTCGTCCCATGCTATCTGATCCAGTGCCTTGCGAAAGTCTTCTCCAGGCGGCTCGACGGCGCAAACAGTCTCACCCTCCTCTCGGAAAGAAACGCGGAAGCGGTGCAGGGCGTTCCGGGGGAACCACAAGGAGTCCCTCTCGAAGGTCTCCTGTGCGGTGTACTTCCCATCACAGACGACCGGAAAACCCACGTAGGCGAAATGACTCCGGATCTGATGCCGACGTCCGGTGCGAATGCGAATCTTGCAAAAGTCCAAGGAGGAGCCGCCGCAGTTTTTGCCTCTGCGCGCCGCGCGGACGCGGGTGAGCTCCGTGCGCGCCGGCTTCCCGAAGGCCCCGCTGCGCGTGGGGCTGGGCCTGTCGCTCTCGCTCTCGCTCGTCGCATCGGAGAGCCAGGAGAGAGGCGCCTCGATGGTTCTCTGCTTCGCTGCGATGATGCCGTGGCAGAGGACCACATAATCTCGAAGCAGCCTTCCTGATGCCAACTGAGCCTGCAAGTCGAAGTAGGACTTGAAGGACTTGGCGGCCAAGATCAAGCCTGAACTCGGAACGTCCAGTCGGTGCAGGAAGCCGTAACTGCATGTAGGATCCTCAAGTATGGGCATCCTCTGCTGACCGACAAGGCTTCTGACGTACTGCAGGAGCTGCTGCGTCTCTCGAGTGTCAGCACTTTCGTCGTGAACTTCCCAGCCAGGCGGCTTCAGAATAGCCAGTGTTTCCGACAAGTCCAACACAACTCGCGGAGGTTCGAAGCCCACCGGACTGAAAGTAGTATTGGATAAGGATCCTACCGCTCCTGCCACTGCTGGTGCTGCTGTGCCCTTCTTGCCTCCGCTGTCCAAGCCTCGACCATGCCGACACAAAGCGCGCCATGCGACCATGTAAAAGCCTTTCATCAAGCCACTGCTGAAGCTGCAAGACCACACCACTCCCAAGATGCATCGAACGAGTTCCGGGCTTAGAACGACACCGGAAGTGCCAGCAATTCGGCGTCGCAGCTCTGCTTGTATAGCTCGCAACACGGAAACTTGCGGCACAGGACCCTTGCCCGACTCCGCCCAGGCAACCAGCATCAGCTCCTTGTCCAGGAAGTCCTCGAGTCTCTCTAGGGACCTCGCTGTCAAAGCCTTATCGAAGCCAGGACTGGAGGCCTGCAGCACGGACAGAGCCCACCAGAGCCGCGTCAAAGTCTTCGTGCCCAGACCCTCGGCGCCGCCGTCCCGGGCCTCCGCCAGGGCGCCCAAGAGCCGCTCCGGCAGCGGGGAGCGACGCGCCGAAGGCGACAGCTGTGCCAAGACCGCGAGCTTCGCAAGGGCCCAGAGTCGAAGGGAAGGGTCGAGCCGGTGCTTTTCCTTTTCCAGCAAATCTTCGAAGTCTTTCAACCGCCCCGCAAGAGCCAAGGTGCCCAAAGCTGCCGAGACCAACACCGGATCAGAAGACGCCTCCGTCTCCGAAAGAGCAGAGAGGCAGAGAGGCCACTTGGAGACGCCTCCGTGGCGCATCGCCTCAATGCGGCCCGTTGCGGCCGCCGCCGTGACTGCTCCAGGCGAGGCGCCTGCCCAGAGCAGCGCCCTTTGCCAGGCCTCTTTGCCTTTGCAGGCGACAATGATCAAGTTGTGGGTGCCGGCATCGGGCTCGACGGAGCTTCTGCGACACGCTTGAAGACACCCAAGTGCCACCTTCCAACCACCTTTGCCGAGAGCGGAAATCACCACGTTCCAGCTGATGACATCCGTCACACGCTGGAGGAAGAGGCACTGCAGCGCTTGCAGCCAACTTCTCGCCTTTGCACAAGCACTAAGCATGGCATTGGTACATGCCAGACCACTCTGGGAGCTGAAAGGGAGCTCCAGACATCGCAAGGATGATTGCCATCGGCTGCCACTCTCATAAGCACTCACGAGCGCATGGCAGGTGCAAGCATCTGGTTCTAAGCGTTCGGTTTCCATTGTCAGCAGCCCGGCAACGGCATGACTCCATGTGACTACATGGCGACAAGCGAATATTCCTGAATTGTAGCTGAACTCGTCGACTGCAATCGCACGCGCCCTTGTCAGCTTGAGGAAACTGGCAGCCTGATGCCATCCTCGCCGACGTGCAAGATCTGCCAAAGCGACGCTGCAAACGACTGCTGTGCTTGTTTGGCAGCGCCTCTGCTTGAAGTTCGCGAGCTCTTCAACGGCAGTGGCCCAGGCCGCAGCGGCCCCTGGTTGCATCCACTCCTTTCATGCCATGCCTCGCTTGAGCCGGCTCACGGCACTCAGATCAGAAACATCACGGCCAAGGGCCAAGAGAGGGCCTCTCGGAGAGGGCCCTGAGGAGAAATCCTGTGGTGCCTTAAAAGGGAAGCGGATCGCGGATTTTTCTCCGCCGCTCTCCGGCCGCTTCCGCCATTCTTCCAGGCCTCGGAGGCACGCTCGGAGCTCCTGCGGCAGCGGCTCCTCGAAGCGAACAAAACGAAGAGGCCGGCTCGCGCTCGCCTCCGCTCGAGCGCTCGTCTCCACGGCCCGGCGGAAGCTCAGCTGTGAGCGGTGGAGGAAGTGCCGGGAGCAGAGCCCGGCATCCTCGCGGCAAGTCCACGCCGACGCGTACTTGCCATCGCCTCGGTTCACGCAGAGAAGGACAAAGGGCTCCTACTGAACTCTTTCTGAAGCTACGAGTATCGGATCTCTTGCCCTCGATGCTCTTGCACTCTCTTACTGATAGCAGCTAGCAAGTCTTGAAATGATATGTATGCTGTGTATGCTGTACAGTCTGAAAAGCTTCCGGGCGTTTGTCGCACCTGGCGGCGGCCGCTAGGGTACGCAACGACAACATCTTCTGATCTCAACATAAGCCGTGCTGCAAACGGTCGGGTGCCCAACATGCGCGCAGTGGCTTCGGATCTGATGGCGGCGCCCCGAATCAATCGAGAGCACAAGGAGGCTGAAGGTCACAGGGCCTTCCAAGAAATGCTTCGTCACAGCCAGAAAGGTGCAAGAAGGCTTGCCTGCACCGCCCGATCGAGTGGGCCCTGAGGAGTCCCAGAAAATGCCGGCTCGGATCTCTCTGCTTCGAGGCACGATCCCGTGGCACAAGGCAGTATACTCACGCCCTATCATCCCGGCTGCAAGCTGAAACTTGAAGTTGTAGAAGGCTTCATATGACTTTGCAGCAAGTAGAAGCCCGGAGCTTGGAACATCCAGGCGGTGCAAGAAGCCAAAGTCGTGCGAGGAATCGAAAGTGATGGGCCCGGCTTTGCCGTGGATCTGCAAGCACGAGGCGACCTGCTTCTCCACGTTGCGGTTGTGGACCTCCCAACCGCAGGGCTTGAAGACCACCCAGCACTCAGCAAGGTCCGCTTTGATCCGAGGCCCCCCGGCATCCTGGTACCAGCCCCGGCCCGGGCCGAATCGCTGAAGGCCTGCAAAAGCCGCTCCCTTGTGCCTCGATCGCGGACTTGGCGGCGTCACGCACGAAGGTTCGGAGGGGCTGCCATCCAAGAGTCCTCCCAGGCCTCTCAGCTTCCTCTGCAAGACCTCCCGGAAACGGCTGCTGCTCAAGGAACATCGTGAAAAAGACCAAAGTGCTCCCAAAGCATCCCGCAACAGCCCTCGCAGCGTCTTTATGGGCATGCGGCGCAAGGTCAAGGGGTGCAGCTCCAGAAGCTCCAACCTTCTGCACATTTCTTCCTGCGCGGCCTGCAGTTCCTTCACCGATGAGGCCGTGGCTCCCAGGACCCAGGCCAGCAGCATCAGGTCGCGGTCTTCGAAAGCCTCCGGTGCTTTGACAAGGCGACGACCTGCAGTCCCGCTCTCGCTGCGAAGGCCGAGCATACAAAACGACCAGGCGACGACCACCAGCTCGTGGCAGCTCAAGTCTTCCCTTGCGATCGCACGGCACACTTCACGATGCACGCTTTGGAGAACCTCTGGGTCTCGAAAGGCTGGGGACAGGCGTGCCAGAGTCGCTAGGCACCACAAGTACGTGCATGGATCCACCGCGTCGACGAAGTCTTCCAGCAGCTCGAAGCACGCTCGGCTCCTTGCCCGACGCGCCAGGCCGCGCAGAGCCACTGTCAGGGCCGCGGCCCGCCCAGCAAGAGTGCGTGGCGGAGCCTCTGTCAACTTCTGCAGGGCACGCTCCCAGGAGAGCGCTGCGGGCACTGGGCTCTCGGGCTCGTCGAAGGCGCTTTGCCTCAGCCGGAGACTGGCGCCTGCGCTTTGCCAGAGGGAGCTGAAGTCGAGAGAGTCCGACGTTGACTTGGCGTTGGGTGGGCAGCCGCTTGGGCCCAGAGCATCCGGCTCCGCGACGGCTTGTTGGAGGTTTGAGAGTAAGGCCCAGGCATGGGGCCAGGGGAGGGATCTGGAGATGGATCTGATGGGCAAGGGAGCAGAAACTTGGGCCAGCGCGAGCCTCCACCCGCGTCCGCTCTGGCTGAGCTGGCTGAGCTGGCTGAGCTGCACGATGAGGCTTCGACTAAGGAGGTCCCCTTGCAGCTGCCGACAGGGCATCTCGACGAGCATGCGCAGGGATGCAAGCCAGGCATGAGTCACTTGTGATGCCACAGCCGCGATAGCCATAGAGGCTATGGTATTTAGCATACTTGTATCTGGCGACATGCAAAGCTCAGAAAAAGACAGTGCTCGCTCCCATTCTGTGTTGGAGCGAAGAACACCAAAGAGACTTCCCAGGCTCATTCTGCCAGGGCGCGAAGGCAGTGAGGAGCTCATGGTCGAGAACAGGTCTGCGGCACGATTCCAGTCCTGTGAGCTCAGGCTGCTCATGGCATTGCTGTAGCTCACCGCGTCCGGTCGATGAGTGCGAAATTGTAAGATGCCCAAAGACGTCAGGGCCGCCTGCCAGGCCGCCTGCCGACTCAGATGCTTGCTCAAGGTGTTGAAGCTTACAATGTCTGGCAGCAGGCCGCGCTGCTCCATGTCCGAGCAAAGTCTCACCGCTTCAATCCAGACTGCTCCGCAAGTTTCGATCGCCGCATTGTACATGACGCAGTCGGCAGTCACCTGAAGCGGACGGGATTGAAGCAAAGCGGAGGTTTTGCAGTCGTGTAGAGCAAGTCGAGGCCCGGACGGCGGCTGCCAGCAGCGCAGCGGCCCGAGGCCACGCGGCGGAGCAGCCCCCTCGCGCGGAGGCGCCCCCGGCACTCCGGGCCAGGGCCGCGATGGCGGCGCTGGCGCAGCGGCCGCTGGGCCTGGATCTCCAGCCCCAGTTCCGGAGCACTGCCAAGGCCTTCTGCCACTGTGCCGCCCTGCTTTGGGCACCCAGCACGGCCTCCGCCACGGCAGCGCGAGACGGGCAAGGTGCGACTCGGCGTCGGAGGATCCACGAAGCCAGGGCTGTAGCCTTTGCCCAGGACAACTGACGGTCGCAGAGGGTCTTCAGCACAGAGCCACGACGTCGGTGTGATGGATTTATCCATTCTCGAGGCCCCACATCAAAGTCGGAGATGGCATTCGCCCAAACTGGCCACAACATGTGACCCAGGTCGTGTCGGGGCTCTCATACTTCGCGAGCTGGCGCTGATCTTAGTCGCGACTTGCCAGGCTCAAGCCATGGTTGCTTTGGGAGCTTCGGCCCTTCACCCACTCGGCTTCGAGGCTCTTTCTGGGGCCACCTGAAGCAGCCTCCCACTCTCCATCCCGCAGTCTGCATTACATCATGAATCTCGAGAGCCAGACAAGCTGGAATGCCATTCAAGCGTGACCTCTTGAAACGGCGGAAACAGTCACACACTCTTGCGCACAAAGGCCCTGCACCCTCGTCACAGCGTGTTTGAGGCGCTGGTGAACACACTTCGTGCGGAGGGCACGTGCACGTGCGGGTCGGAAGGCTCAGTCGTCCTCGATGTCATCCAGGTCTGCGTCCTCCTATGGGGCAAGCTTCCACACTGGTGCGACAGATGCGAGAGCCTTCAGATGCTGCACGAGGGCCCACCTCGCCGAACAAAGCAGCATCGTACACCAGGACATCGGACCTGGCACCGAAGGCAAAATTGATTCTATTGACTCTAGCATATGCGCGACAGCCAAAAAGAGTCGATCCAAAGACTGGGGTTGCGTCTTTCCAGCAGCAGGATACCCATTCTCCTCCTTCTTGCCTCCGGAGCTCGTGAGGCTGGGCAGCAAGCAGCAAAGCAATGCAAAGCAATGCAAATCACTTCGTGCAAGGCCAAGGTCCCGCACGTTCCTCTCCTTCTTGGCCCTGCATGAAGATCAGCTTACCGGACCTGCTTGGAGGAAACTCGCTTCCGTCTTCGACATTCAGATCGCGAAAAGGCATTGCGGCATTCCCTAAACCGGTCCTTGATTTCACTTCGTCTCGCTTCAAGATCCCGGTCTCAATCATCTCCGCATCAAACTTGGCCTGGCCCCACCGGCTATCTCCCAGGTCGGTTGAGGATGTTCGCTGATAAGTGACAAAGGCAGCATTCTGTGTGAGACAGTTCATGTGGAGTGAGATCCTTGCCTACAGACTCGTCGCGACTCAACAAGAAGGGCCCAGCAAGCCAGAAGCGATTGCCCTGCCCGACAGCAAACAGTGCTCCAGTGGCCTTCCAAGCTGCGAAACTCTCCGCCGTGATCCGCTCGCTCTCGGGACAGAGGGCCTTCTCCGTTAAACCTGACGCGGGCAATCCGTCAGCGGCGGAGCCTTTCCCGATGTCTCACCGGAAACACCAAGCTGGCCGCCCTTCCACTCCGGCTCCTCCTCCTCGTCATCCTCCTCGCCCTCCTTCTGAAATGAACTGAGAATGGCGCCATCAGAGCCAACGGCCGAGCGTCACCGGAGCCTCCTCCTCTTCGTCGTCGTCCTGCACAAGCGCGGTTTGCCGGACTTAGACTTAGACATAAGGAAAAAGGGCTCGTTCCGATTCGCCTCTCCGGCTGCATGCCGCAGCATCATCTGCTCGTGCATGGACAGCTCCTTTTGGTTGTTCTCCTTTAGAAAGTCCTGCAGAGATGCCAGACTTGAAACGAGCTGAGGGTGCCTGCTGCACCTCTCATCCTAAAGACTCTCCTAACACACTCACTGGTCCACGGCATACTTCCAAAGGCCGTCGTTACTGCCACTCTCTCTTGAATTCTGTGCCGTGACAAATGCCTGTGCCTGTTCGCTTTTCATCACTGGATCTTTGGGAGATCCGCGGGCTCTTGCGGGCTCTTCCGACCAACGAGGCTTCGGATTCCAGCCTTGCCTCATTTCTCAATCGGGTCCCCGACACGCAGCTGAGCTTCATGCGGTCCTGGCATGCCTCCGTCACGGAGTAAATCATGGCCATGCCTATGGACGACTCTATCGTCTCCTGAGCCACGAGCAAGGAACTGAAGCTGCCAAAGGACTCTGAACTGCCAGGATTGCGTGGCTTGGAACCCGACGGTGATTTTCTCCTTCAGCTGCTCCAGCTTTTCGTCGCTCAGGCCCAGAACTTCCTTCCGAGCACAGGAGGCAGCCACTGCCGCGCTCCGCTCGGCGCTCGACGCCCGGCACTGATCCCAAAGCGCAGCACGCGCAACACAAGAAACCTGTCGCCGAGGCCTTGGCTGGGCCCTCAAGACTCCTAGGAACACCCCCCCCTCTCCGGCGCCTTTCCAGCCTCACAGGGCCTCCCAAACGTCTTTTGCCCATGGCCACAGTCTTCGAGACGCGGCGTTTGTTGTGCAGTTAAAATCTCGGTGCTGCGCGATTTCGAAGTTGATGGAGCTTCTGGTCTTGGGGACCACTGCTTGATTGCAGGGCTTGCCGTCCAGAGGCGTCCTGCTTCGTTCCTTTTCGGGTGGCTGCTGAGGTGTGTTCACACACCAATGATCAATATGACTTGCTGTTGCGGTACTTCAATGAGTTGGAGGAGTGGATGGTGTGGGACGTAGGAGAGCATGGGATGTGATCAACAGCGGTTACTCAACCCAGAATTTCACACGGAGTCTTGCAAGCCTAACTTGGCGCCATGCATGGAGTGAGTTTCTGCAGGTTGGGGTCTGTGACGTTCGGTGTGACCGTGGTCTACCGTACCCCCTTCCATGCTGCTGCCTTGCCTGGGGCACGGTACAACTCGCCCTCGCTCTCTCGCTCTGTCCCTCCTCGAGTTCCCATATCGGGGGCTCGTCGGGGTAGGCATCTGTGTACGTAACGTGGAGCGCGACACCGACGTGGTTCTCCTGTGAGGGGAGAGGCACTCAGTCGTACAGCACCCGCCACGCGCACGGCTCGCTCTCGCTGCACAGAGCTCCTCTTCTCCGCCAGGGAAAGGCTGAAGCTTGATGACGAACCTGAAGGCACAGACAACACAGGCGATGCACGTGCACGGGCCCCGAGCCCCTTCAGGACCCACACTCCTTTTCGGAAATACTCTTGAACTCCTCTCCCTCGAAGATCGACTGCAAAGCCTGCAGAGTCTCTGAAGACTCACTGAACGCCACGGCAGTCCGAAAGGACCTCGATTTCCAGGGCTTGCTCCTCCTGCCGCGACAGCACAGGCACAGGAGCACGGACATTGCTGCGCTGACGAGCAGGCGCCACAGGCGCCTCGTGAGCCATGGGCCGCTCAGCCGCTCAGCAGGCGCTTACCTCGCGGCCCTCGCCACGGCCATCGCCACGGCCGCGATGGCGGCACGGAGCATTGGAAAAACCACGGCCACGCCACTGCGCTGTATCCTGCTTGGGGGAGGCTGAGTGTCGGTTCTTGTCTTGTGTATTGGGGGGAGCATGGCAGCATGATCTTTGCAAGAGCAAATTAGCATCGTAGGTGCTGATGCTAGCAAAGCTGCGTAAAGCCGCTCTGGTGCGAACTACTTCTTCACTTCCCTGAGTGACAGATGCGGTGGCTTTGCATCCAAAGCAGGCCGCGACCGACACACGTCTGATGCACTGGCCAGTCTTTTCTGCTGGAGCTCTGTACAAACGTGCTTTGTGCGTGGGCCATTCCGTTGGGGTGAAACCGATCACGAAAGCAGCTTGTGTTTGGTTCATTTGGAGTGTTCAGGCCCGTAGCGAGGCTCCTTTTGTGACCTGCAGTGTCTTATGAGACAGAAAACCTAGGACCTAGAACTACGTGTCGCGAGGCGTCTTCAACTTCCTCGGTATGGTGCCGAGGACTTTCGAATCGAAGCAAAGCGACCTGGTTAAGAAACCCACGAGTCAACATCTGATGTCCGGAGCATCCAAAGCACCAAGCCTAGAAAGCCGCGAGCTGGAGGCATCACCTTCAAGATCGCGGCAGCCCTCATTTCCAAGGCCAGCCTGGTGAACCCTCCGAGCCTTTGAAGCTTGAACAGCTTGGGCCTCAGGGCAGGGGTAGGCAAGGCATGGCAAATCATGGCAGAGCCCTGGGCCTCCAGAGACTCCGCGTAAAGATTCGCCCGAGCCTCCTGTGTACTCTCAGCAAACTCACGCAGAGCTGCAGAGAGAGCCTGCAGGACCCCTCCCTGCCTCCCCCTTCTCTGAGCTCTTCTCGGAACCTGCACCACTGCACTCACCCAAACAGGAAGCTGTTGCTGAGCAAACATACGATCCTGGGAAACTGCTGCTCTGAAAATTGGTCACTTTGGTTTTGCAGAGATTGAGTTGCCTCACCTAGATGTGGCCTTTACCGGTGTTCGGATTACCGCGAGCTCTGGACGACGTATTTGAACTAACTAGTGTCCGCTACGAGCTCCCAGTGCTTGTCTACATCTATACATCAGTCAGGCAATCGGGACAACTTCAGCTGCCAGCCATAGATGAAGTTATCATACATCTGTACCCGTGTCATGATCGTGTAAGGAGCTCCAGACGGAGCGAGCTTGCAGCAAAGCGCAAAAGTCAGAGCAGCTTGGGCAGCGTGCCGTGTTCCGGCTCCTCGGCAAGGGGTGCCTGAAAGCTTAGCCTCGGAAGCAACGACGCAACTTTGTCCGGTCGCGACCTGTCACTAAGCTCACGACCTGTCAGGTAGCAAAGTGCCAAAGCCTCAGAACGCGTTCACTGAAGCAAAGAAGCAACATGAACGGAGGGGAGGGCCGTTTTTTCCGTCAGACTCGGCCCGTCACTGAGCCGGCTTGGCTGTAGAGTCTCGAAGCTCTTCCTGCTCGCAACAACAGCCCCCTGTGATACAGGCACCTGAGGCCATGTCCTGTCCGGGATCAGGGTGCTGAAGCTCCCACGATCCTTGGGACAGGGCCGGAACACTATATGGTTTGGGCGCACGGATGCTCGAAAAATGGCTGCGGATGCTCTGGCAATCGGATGCTCTGGTAAACGAAAGTTACTTTGAGGCAGGCATGGATGTGCTGGAAAAGGAATGCTCTGGTAAATACGTGTTCTTATGGTTTGGGCATGGATGCTCTGGCAAACGGAGCTCTGGTAAATGGAAACTATTTTGGTTTGGGCACGCTCCGGCTAATGAATGCTCTGGTAAATGGACGCTGCTATGCTGCTATGGCTTTGGTCATGGATGCTGTGGAGAACGGACGCTCGGGTAAACGGACGTTATTTTGAAGTAGGCATGGATGCGCTGGCAAATTAATGCTCTGGCAAACGGACTGTCTTAGGGTTTGGGGTTTGCACATGGATGTTTTGGCAAATGTATGCACTGGTACTAGACTTTCTTATTTTGGCTGCTCTGGCCACCGATGCTGTGGAAATTGGGCGATGCTCTGGCAAACGGACATCTTTACGGGTTTGTGCATGGATGGTCTGGCAAACGGATGCTCCGGTTATTAAGGTTTGCGGATGAATGCTTTGGCAGAAACATGCTGCGGGAAATGGACGTTATTCTGCTTTGTGCATGGACGCTCTGGCAAACGGATGCTCTGGCACATGCAGGTTGTGGTGGTTTTGGCATGGATGCTCTAGGCAAACGGACCAGAGTTGTGCAAATGGCAAACGGGCGAGGGTCGCATCTAACAACTAGAACCTACGGTACTTCAACAACTTCAAGCCACAAAGGGACGAATCTTTTTAATGGCCGCAGGTGCACTCTCCGGCTGCACCTCCACAACGTTGTGAACGGTGAACAATCCGGAGTCTGTGAGTTAATGCAAGGTTTGTTTGTCCTTCGGTCAATGACGATGCCTTCAAGCTCCTTCGTTTTCCAACCTCCCCTCTTTTGACTTATCAACCATACCCTGAAACGAATTGAAGATGGAGGAAGGAGCTTTCGTGATTTCCGTCTTCTCCTTTCTGCCTGAGTGCCCTTCCGACAGGTGTGCACACTTTCCAGCGTCAGTGCTCTCTCCAATCCCGTCAAAGCCGCTCACAAGGTTCGCACACCGAACACGATTTTGATACTGTCCAATAGTGTCCAATCATTCCAAGGCCGCACTCTCACAAACACAACAGATCCTCCGAGCCAAAAAGGCAGTCAGTGTGGCTGCCCACTGTGTCCACGTTCTTAAGGCACCGTCCGGGACCAGGGTCCGGAAGCTGGCTCGGTCCTTAGACAGCACAGGCACAGGCGGCAGGATTCACTTTCAGCGCTTCCATCGGGCCAGTGGCAGACAAGATTTTCTGCGTCTCAATTCCCTGGTCTAGAGTCTAAGAACCGGGCCGGTACTAGGGTGGCAAGCGTTGCGAAGCTCTCCCCATAGGTCGCCTGCGCGATCCCGCTCGCATCAAATTCGACACAGGAAAAAGACATGATGCCGAGGAGCTAGGAGGGAAAGCAAAACTTTTCAGGAGACAACGGTAAGATTCGCAACAAAGAAGCCAACGGTTCAACACAGACTGCTGATGCACTGATTGATTTCGCTTCTAGGAGAGAGATGCTCCCCACAACACATCTTCAACGCCGCCGACTGCCTGAGCCAAACCCACTTCAGGGACCTGAGCTGGTTTGTTTCTAGATCAAGCGCGGCAAGAGAAAATGCAACATCGCACGAAACCATCGACTCGGCACACTGCCGACAGAGCCGGGGGGTTCGTGCGGATGGAAGCCTCGCCATCGTGGCAGCCGCAATGAAGGGAGCAGCGCAATAGCAGACGTTGAACGTCATGATCCACATGAGACTTCCTGATGGCATGCCTGCGAAGCCTGCGAAGCCAAGGGTACCTGCAAACGTCTGGAGTTTAGCAGCAAATTGAATTAAGCAAAAACTGATCATGTCCGCGTCCACTCTTCATCATTCCAGCCTCTGGTAGGTCGTCCTTTTCGATTGAAGGAGCGCAGCAGCCACACTGCCTGCCACGTGATTGCATCTGGCACTACCGCTCCCTGCTCGTTCAAAAATTCGCATTCCCAGGTTGTTCTGCGAGCGCGTCACACTTTGCTACTAAACCGGGACATTTCAGATCAGCTGAGGCAACGGCTGGCCCATGGCGCTCCGAACGGCTCCCGCTCTGAAGCTAAAATCTTTTCTTGCAGCCCGTGTCTTGCTGAATTCGCTGTCGTGGCTAAGACATAGCAAGGTCTTTGAGCCATATGTATTGCATCTTGCGGCACCTTGAGCCGCAAATCGTCTGGACAGGAGCATGACATTGTTCGCATTACGGTTGCACCTGCTTGGCGCATGTGTCCAGGGATGCTTCCCGACACATGAAGAATTGACTCACGCGTACACGTCTGTGCGTTCAACTGGGTTGGTGTCACAGAAATGTAGTTGCAGCTGGTCAACAATGCAACGTTTTAATGGTACAACATTTCAGCTGTTCGATGATAATGATCTCAGGACCACCCGCCAATTTTGGACCAGGTGTGGGGACGCATGTGGCGAATCGCGGCCCATCGGCTTGGAAAAAGTGGCATCACATCTGTTGCCCTGCCACAGCCTACGGGGCATCGTGGGGCACTGAGCACTGGACCCGAAACATTGATGGCAATCGCGTTTCTATCCAGAAGCTCCGCTGCGTTCCTTTTCTGCACCTTCGGATGGTATCCTTCCACTGGTCGAGCTCTGCAGAATCGGGATTATTAAGGCCTTTGGCCCCCCCAAGATTTAAATCTTGAGTCATCGATCTGCTTCACCCTTTCAAGAAAAGTTCCCAGCGCAAGCAGCACAGGGAGGGAGGGCGGGTGCTGAAAGAACTTGAGACAAGCGGTTACGGCCTCCACTTGCCTCGCTTCTAAGTTCAGAAGCTCCGCTGCGTTCCTTTTCTGCACCTTCGGATGGTATCCTTCCACTGGTCGAGCTCTGCAGAATCGGGATTATTAAGGCCTTTGGCCCCCCCAAGATTTAAATCTTGAGTCATCGATCTGCTTCACCCTTTCAAGAAAAGTTCCCAACCATCCCCACCTGAACCAGTGTAAGCTAAAGGAAGCTCACCAGAGCTAGCTTGCCGCCGAGAAGAGTGTATACCACGTCGTTGGCGGCACCCGTTGCTTGATGTATTGGCCAGCTTTGTCTAGCAGAAAAGGAAAAGCCTGTGCGAACTTCAGGATCCTCTGTCTCGTTTCCAGGGGCTGGTTGGGGAAGAATGTGATTGAAGAAACCTCCTGCAGGTACACTTCCATAACCTTGTGGGAGATCCATCTGCCACGACGCCTCACCAGCTCACTGTCTTCGCAGAGAGTGAGCAGGTGAGTCGCCCCACCCGGTCGGAAAGAGCCGAGGTCCAGAGCTCGCTCGCCACTTTTGGCGCGGACCCCGAGCCGTTCAAGAATTTGATCCAGTCTGCGTCTCAAGGTCTGCGGTGTGCGTGGCCACAGTTTTTCTCCTGGCTGCAAATCCTCAAAAGCATAGCCAATCAGTGCGACGAGGTCCTCGGGCTCGACCTTAGCAACCTGATGCCTCGCTACTCGCAGCCGTGTCTTTGGTTCTTGTATCTTCAGCAATATATGCCTTTGCAGGTACAACACGTCCTTTGGCAAAATCAGATCGGACCTGGAGGCCGAGGTGGCTTCACCAATACGAAGTATCCCGCCCCAGGCCAGAGCGAAGATGCCAGCTTCTCGTAGCCATCCCCAAAGTAGGCAGCAGCTCAAAGAAGCCAGCAAAAGAACCAATGGCATCGGTACATGATGCGAGTGAGGCTCCAGCGCAAGCCAAGTGAAAGCTAGATCCCAGGCTCCCTGCAACTGGCGGCGCACCGAAGGAAAAGCAGCCGCAACTGCATTGACACTCTCGGAGTAATGCCAGTAAGGGCGTCCAGCATCAAAAAGCTCTCTGCCGAAGTCGACCAGCAGGCTGCTGATCTTCGCCGCGTCAAGCGGAGGCTGCCCCAAAGCGTGGAGGGAGCTGCCGCGTTCTCTCAGCCATACATCATACTCATGCAGAAGCCTGGCCCTATTGTCCTTGGTGCGGGGTAAGACCGGGCGACCTGTCGACAGTTCGGACTCTGCCCTGCGCTGCCGTCTATCCGCATCCTGTCCCGGCCGGTGCTGCACCGGCCCCTCTCCCGGAAACCCAAGGGTGGCATCGAAGTCACTGAAGGGCCTGGGGCCCCCCTGGCGGATGTCATGCATCGCTGCTCCAAGCGACCGCTCGCGGCGGAACGGAGAACCTAAAGCCCGAAGAAACTTACCTAGGGGGGTTGAGGACCTAAACCCTATGAGGAGGGAGGAGAGGCGGAGCCAATTGGCTTGTGGACGCCGCAGCTGCCGGAAAGAACACGCAAGGTGAAGCTCACCGGGCTGAAGGCAGGCAACAAGAGAAGAAGGGCATGGAGCCCGCAGCGGCGTGTCTCTCGTGGGATCGTCGGCCGTATTCAACCTTGTGGGGCCAAAGCAAGCTGAAACATACAACCCTCCTGCAAGCTGAAGCGCTGCTGCCTTGAGCAAGAGGTTCCTGAGGGTCCTCGTGGCGCTCCGGCCTTTGGTGAAGGCGCCGAGTGTGACCGAGGAGTCCACTATCGCAACCAGCCGCTCATCGCCTCCTGCAAGTGCCCGGTCTGGGAGGACCTTCAGGAGTGCCCTGACTTCGAGGGCGTTGATGTGCTCAGCTTCTCTCCAGGCCCAACTGGCAACAACACCCCAGAACCCCGTGGCTAAAAGGTCATTGGCAACGAGACTTTCGAAGCCCGGGGCCCGATGTGGCTCACTAGGCTGGGCCGCAATGATGTTCTGAAGGCAACCGGCAAGGGCGCGGACCAAAGAAGGGCACCAGCGGCCCAGCTGCACGCCAAGATGGCCTGAAGGCCGACACCGGAGGTCTCCCCCGCACGGGAAGTCAGAAGCTGCAAAGCCGGAACCCAGTACTTTGAAGAAACCTTGGGAGCAGAAGCGGCAGGCACAGGCGCTCAAGTTGCGTTGGTTCACACCCGGCTTGTTCAGGAGCTGCAGGAAAGAAGGCCAAGCCTGGACCACAGAGCAGCCCGGTACGACGAAAAGGGCAGGGAGGCGGCACCGCCAAGCCGTCTGGAAGAGGACGAGCAGAGAGGAAAGCACCTTGAAACCGGCCTCTTGTCTCCGAGCGGCTTTAGTGCCGTCTCGGCGTGCGAGCAACACTCAGAACGGAAGAAGGCCCGGAGGGACACCAAAGGATGAGTGAGCGGAGCCTCCCCTGCATGATAAGGTGCTGCACCCATTCAATGACTTCAGAGTCCCGAAGATCGAAATGCTCCGAAGCCGAGGCGTCAACGAACGGGCCGCAAACGAGCCCCAGGGACCTGAGGGAGGGAAGCAGCTCCTCCGGCCCGGGCCCGACAGAAAGCACATCGTAATGCTGAGCCGGCGGCTTAGAGAGAGTAGGCTCAGGAGGCCAGGGATCCTCCTCCTCACGCTGGGGGGCGCTGATCGGCTCAAGGCCTCGCGCCGAGAGCGAGGCTCGCACTGGATTTTCAAGCCTGGTATAGAAGCCCTTCTCGTCACCCGAGAGCCACAGGTTGGCAGAGACCTCCCTTGGCACCCTTACAGAAGTGTAAGCCCCCTTTGCCAGTGATGCATCCGAGGCGAAAACCTGGTAACAGAATGGAAGGGCAACGTTGCTGGCAAGGAAGAACTGCAAGCAGCACTAGCTCTTGACGGGCCCTAGGGCCTAAAGGCACTAGGTGAGAACCGGAATCACCCCCAGCGAAACCCAAACCTAAGGTGAACACCTTATCGGCTACGGCCATGGCGCACCGACGGTACATAAGAGCAGCAACCCAGCTCCCAGTGAGCATGGAGGCCAGTTCTTGAGAAATGCACCTGAAGGTCGCGGCCCGGAGCGAGCAGAAGGAGAGAGCAAGCCTCTTTGCAGCAGGCGCGGCTACACTGACGATGCCATCACGGACGGCTGCGGCGGAAGAGTCGCACTCCGCGCCGGCACAAGTGAAGACCTCCGAAGAGAAAATGTCTTTGTCGTCGGAGCCTAGCACTCCCTCGCTCGCGTAGCTCTGCTTTGCCCGCCTCACAAGAACCTCAGCCTGACTCTGCGAGCTCCGGTCCCGAGAGATGGGTTCGGCTGACACACTGAAGAAGTCATCTATCACTAAGCCCGCCCAGGGACCCTCTAAGCTGACCTGGTGCTTTGCAAGGAGTCGGCCGTCCTCGGCGGAAGGAAGCACCCCCGCTGCAGACAAGAACGAGGCGTGAGCTGCCGTCGCTAGCTCAACGCCCGACGCGTCACCCTGGAACAAGGCCGCAAAGCACCCATGGACCGGCATGTCCAAATCAAGGAGGGCGGCACGCGGCACAAAGGAAGTGGCAGGGCCGGTGGACGGCCGCGCCCAAGGCCCACAGCCTAGCGAGGCGACCCAATCAGAGTATTCGGCGCAGGCCTTGGTTCCTAAGAAGTCCCGTAGCCTAAACCCCGGCTTTACCGCATTGGTGAAGGAGCGGGCCCGGCTGACCCTGCACTGAGAATAGAAATCTCTCCTGTCAGTGCTGCTCCCCAGCAGCTGGTGAGTGAACCGAGGGACCGACAATCTCGTGAGAAGATACCCTTGTGGGAGCTCGTGCGAAACACCTTCGAGGCGAGCTTCAAGAGCGTTTTGCCCGCGGCGGTCGCCGATTTGCCTGAACTGGCCAGGCTTCTTAAACGACCCAAAGACCCGAGAACAAAGTCTATCCTCCAATGGCCCCGGGCAGAGGCGCAGCAGAGACTTCGCGTCCCACACCAACATAAGCTTGTGTAACTCCTCCCGGCTCTCACGCTCAAAGGAAGGAGCAGGGCCCTGTGTGCCCGCAAATGTGCGAAGCACAGCGGGCTCGCGGGCGGCAAGCAACATGTCAGTGGGCAGGTGGTTCTCCATGTGCCAGTTAGCCCGGCCGTGCAGCACCACAGTGTCGGCCCGCAAAGGCTGGAAAGGCCGGAGGATTTCAGGGCCATCGGTCGAATGTGGAACGAAGGCGGAAGCTGAAAGAGGGCCCTCAAACCCAGCATAATCCAAACCTCCGGCTCCGGACTCAGCCAGGAACTTGACTAGCTCATTCTGCCTGGCACAGATATGAGCTCCACGTCGGCCAGCGCTGTAGGGAAAGGCCCCACGGCGGCCACACGCCCGCATAAAGCCTGAAATCCGGCGGTAAACCTCAATGTGGTGAGGGGCCGGCGGCCTCTGCAGCTCGCGGGTAGGGATCGGCTTCATCCCTGAATGCACAAAGTTGAGGCTCATGACAATGACATGGAGCGCACGACGGGCAAACACAGGGCATCGGCCTCGACCTCCGCGGCGGCAGGAAAGCATCCCAAGAGGCACCGCATGGGGCATTGGGAGGGGAAAGAGGGCGGTAGGAGCGGAAGCATCCTCTCTCCGATGAAGGTGCAGAGTGCTTGAAAGAAAGTGTGCAAAAGTAGTCCCAGACTTAAGGACCAAACGGACCAAGGAGCTGGCCCAAGCAGAAAAGGTGAATTCCCCGTCAAAGTCCAAGGGACACTCGGCTGGCGGGAGGCATGCATCAGGGCTCAGTGGCCCTACTTTGGTTGCTGCTGTGCGGCTGCCTGGGCAGCCTTGCGGGCCGCCCACTGGGCTGCCCTTTGCTGCTTCTTGGGTCGCCTTTGGGAACCTCCGGGGGAGGATCGGCCCCAGTCTTCTTCACTTTCGGCTTTGCCTCTGCTCGCTTTGCCGCAATGAGATCCATCTCGCGCAGGAACCCTAGCGCCGATGTCACCCACTTCTGATCGGCGAGTGGGCTGAACGGTTGCGTCCCCACTCCTGGGCTGACCGGGCCGTCGCGGAACAAAGCTTGAGGCGGATCTTGAAGAAGAGTCATCAACCACGCCACCTGGGAGGAGCCGTCTAACGCCTGCTGGTCCAAGAAGAGGGCGAGGAGGGCCAACGTGTCGGATGCTCCTTTGTGATGGCCCTCCATCAACAAGTCGAAAGCTATGGCCACTTGCCATGCCACCAGGCCTTGATCCCGCTGCCTTCCGAACCCTCCATAGCGCTCGAAATAACGGCACAGTGAGAAAGGCTCTGTGGAGCCCACCCCCGCGGGGGCCATCCTGGCCGTCCCTCGCTCTCGAAGTCTCTCGGCAAAGCTTCCTGAAAGAGCGGCCAGATCCGCTTGCAGACGCTGGCGGGTCTGCGACCCTCGGGCTGAGGCTGAAGACGCCGACGTTTGATCTAGGATCGGGTCGGCCCCCTGAGAGATCTGGTTCACTAACGTAAGCAAAGCCCGGCTCTGAGCCATCATGGCCAAAGTCAGCTCCGAGGAGGCGCCTTGCCCGGGCAGCTCGCCGGCGGCGATACCAGCAGCTAGCTGAGCATCCAAGTCGATCTGGGGCGCATCGGCCAGAACCTGAGTCGGAAGAGGACGGGCTGGAGGCGGCGGCCCCAAGACCTGAGTCAGAGACTTTGGCACCACTTGAAAAGGAGGGACCCTCACCTCTTCCAGACCGGGCGGGCCTGCCGCGGCTGTGGCGGCCGGCTGGGCAGTCTCCCCCAAGGCAGGCAGAAGGGAAGCCAGAGGGGCCCGACGAAGTGCTGCACCCGACGGCGCTGGAGGCGATGCCTCGGCCGGTTGAGCGGCAGGAGCCGGCGCCGCGTGTGCGACCGGTGTCGCACGCTGCAGCCTCTCGAGCTGATCGCTCATCCTTCCTACCACCTCGGCCAGGGCGGCCTGCTGCTGCACAAGTTGGGTCATGGTGGGCCGCTTTGGCCGGGCCGCACGCTTTGGATCGGGAGCCTCTGAGGCTGCGGTTCGGTACCCCGAAGAAGGCCCCGCGTTGTCGCTTAAAATCCAAACCCTGGCCTGCTGCAACAGATCGGACGCCAGAGGATAAAGTGAAGGGTCGGCGGCCACAAAAGAGGTGCCCAAGAAGAGGTCCGAATCCAAGGGGCTGAGTAGTTGCGACGCGGCGGCCGGGAAGTCCACAAGCAGAGCGGCAACGGGGTCGCCATCGGCCGCTTGCCATTCCCCCTCCTCTGTGAGCGCGACAGGGGGCGCCCGAGCAACGTGAGAGGGCCCCGGGCGAAGACCATCCCCAGGAGCCGCAGCTAGCTCCTCCTGCGAGAAGAAGTCCAAAGGCACAGCAAGCAGAAAACCATCTTGCCTTAGCATTAGCACATAGCAAGAACATGATCGGGAGCCGTCACCTTCCGGAGAGGGAGGCCAGGAAAACTCAAGAAGCTCAACCACACCGGTGGAGGCAGGAGTCAAGGCTGCAAAATCCATCAGGCCGGATATGGCAGACCGGCGCCTGCGCAATAAGCTCGGCACTCGGTCTCGGAGGGGAAGGCGTGGCTCACTGACCACCGCCGCTCAAGCACACCTGGCAGGTTCTTGTACTCAGCAAAGGAGCGCACCACAACCGGAGAGTCGATGGCCCGCGTCCGAAGCACGCAGTAGAACCGGTTGGAAAGGTTGATCGCAGAGGTCTTGCCAACGTAGTCAGCCTCAGACCTCAAGACACGACCCGCGGAGCGACCGGCGTTCCAAGCACGAAGGATCCGAGCCCGAGGGCTGATGCAACAGCGTCCCAGATGCCTTGAGGAGTCCAAGATGTAGCTGGGCGGCGCTTCGACAAGCTCGGGGGGCGAAAGCCCAGGCAAGGGGTACTCTGGCACCGACGCAGAAGACGAAGGCGGGGCTGGCAGTTGCTCCGGAGCAGACTCGGTTGCAAGGGGAGCGCTAGAGGCAGGGGATTAGGGTCCTGGCCGGAGAGCTCCGGCATGCAGGCAACTTCAACAAAGTCCGTCAGCAATGCCCCTCAACAAAAAGCTGCAGTAACAGGTTGGGGGCGTAAAACTCGTCATTACAGCCAATGCCCGGATCCTGACTGAAGCCGCCCAAAAGCGATGCATTCTGCATTCTGCACCATATCCAGTCCAATGCAAGCAATGCTATGACCAGGGCTTAGGGTGGTTTTCGGGTTTAGGGCTGAAGGCTTAGGGTGTTCTTGAGGGTTAGGGCTTGGGGGTTGGGGTTCGGGGGTTCCGCGCGAAGTAGATGGGATGCAACCAATGTTTCATTGATTCTGTTCCCGAATTGGAGGTTGTGATCACTAACTACTCTGTTTTTTGCGGTTTTGCTGGTGCTGCTTTTTGTGCTTTTGTGGTCACTGTTAGTAGGCCGGGTGGGATCCCAAAACATGCACAACGAGCTCTTACGAAAATGCCTGGAAGCAGGCACTCCGGACCAAATAACAAGACTGTTGCTTACTTTCCAGTCATTCGTTCAAATTCAGAGCATTCAACTCAAAGCTTGGCCAAAGCACTTGTGCGCTCTTAAAATTGCTTACAAAATGCCGCCATGGCCGATAAAACTTGTTCCACAACGAGTCAGTGGCATGACAATACGGAGCTGTTAACCCTCTGAGGGTCCCTGCCCCACTGGCGCTTTCACGAGTATGGGAATCATGTTGATGTGAAATCCAGCTACGAGGATTGGGGAGCGAATGTTACTGAACTTAGAAGCGAGGCAAGTGGATGCCGTAACCGCTTGTCTCAAGTTCTTTCAGCAGGGTTGAAGGGTTCATGGTCCCTGCTGCTTTGTCGTCTGGCCTAGCTATCTTGCGAGAGGGGCTGGCCAGCAATTGGTGGGGGCTTGCGTGCCCCGCTCATTGTCAGAGCCCGGGCCTCGGCCTTCTTCTTGCCACCTTCTTGGTTGGCTGGTTTTGCGGGGCCCTCTTCTGCATCCTGGCTGTGGGATATATATATTTGGTGATCTTCAGGAGGGAACCTGATCAATCTCCTGCTCCGATTGCTCGTGTGGAGGAGGCTTCCGCCCTTAGGCGGCGCGATCAACGCCTCCGAGGGTACTTGCATGCCACGGGTTGAGGTTCGAGTTGAGGGAGTTAAGGTTAGTGTAGATACGGGTGGTAGCGTGCAGGGGCCCGCCGAGGCCGTGTCTCCGTCATCCACTGGTTCTTTCGAGCTAGCGCCTGTGCCTCCCGAGCCTGCCTCTTCTCTTGCAGGCTATCTCCCTGAGATCCAATCACTCCCTCCCTTCGTGCCTAGCGGGCAAGTTGGGTCTAGTTTCAAATACCTACACTGCGTCAATCAATCAAACTTTTGCAACTTTTGGCCAATTTTGTTGGTGCTCTTTCTTGTGCTTTTCATTACAGTTTCCTATCAAAACTTGTGCTTTTTCTGGTGCCCGAGATTGTGCTCATGATTGTGTTTTTTCTGGTGCTCGAAATTGTGCTCATGACTGTGCTTTGTCTGGTGCTCGAGATTGTGCTCATGATTGTGTTTTTTCTGGTGCTCGAAATTGTGCTCATGATTGTGCTTTTTCTGGTGCTCCAGATTGTGCTCATGATTGTGCTTTTTCTGGTGCTCCAGATTGTGCTCATGATTGTGATTTTTCTGGTGCTCGAGATTGTGCTCATGATTGTGCCTTTTCTGGTGCTCCAGATTGTGCTCATGATTGTGCTTTTTGAAAGTGATTACAATTTAAAAGCCAATGATTCGCCTAATGAACTCATACCTGCAATCATGATATTCGGCAGATTGGGTATCAACCTTTGTGCCTTTTCTGGTGCTCGAAATTGTGCTCGTGATTGTGCTTTTTCTGGTGCTCGAGATTGTGCTCATGATTGTGCTTTTTCTGGTGCTCGAGATTGTGCGCACGATTGTGTTTTTTCTGGTGCTCCAGATTGTGCTCATGATTGTGCTTTTTCTGGTGCTCCAGATTGTGCTCATGATTGTGCTTTTTCTGGTGCTCCAGATTGTGCTCATAATTGTGCTTTTTCTGGTGCTCGAGATTGTGCTCATGATTGCCATCCCGGGCTTCTTCGATGCGCAGCCCGCGTTTGCAAGCTGTCGCTTGTGCTTTTTCTGGACAGACCCGGCAGCTGCGCGCCCCGCCCCAGACTACCGAAAGCGAAACAGCCCGAGTTTGCGAAGCCTGTGGGCCTAGGCTTCTTCTGTACAGACCCGGAAACCCCAGGCCTAAGCTCCGAACCCTAAGCCTCCAACCCCACATCCGGATTCCAGGGCCGAAGCTCTAAACTCCGAGCCCGAAACTTTGAGCCCTACATCCGGACGCTGAGACAAGCTTGCCCTAAACTCTAAGCCCTGGCCCGAAACCCAAAAACCCTGAGACCCACATTCCAGAAGCCTGACCAAGCCCAAGCCCCAAGCGACGCCAGTCCCACGGTGAATGTTTCTGAAAGTGTGATCAGGTTGCTAAGATTTAATTCATTGGGGCCTTCAAACCCTGGTGCTCATTTTTGCCTGTGTGTTAAACCTTTATTTAACTGTTAGTGGGGAGGGTGGGATCCTAAGGCATGTTGATACAAGGCAGGTGGCTTTTGGGGGCAGCTTTTCACTGTCAGTCAGCAGCGCGGATCGTGGCTTCAAGCAAAATCCTTCGCGCAAGAGCAAGCTCACTGCATGCTGAGTCTTTATTCCGACGCCCCGCTGTGCCAGCAGTTGAAGGCCAACTCCTGCTTATTCAAACCATTGCTCGCAAGTGGGCCTTACAACGCGGGCTCGGCACCAAGAATCCAGAACCAATGTCTTGTTGGGGCCCCTTGTCTCGGAAGGTGTCTCCGAGTTGGGGATCCCCCTGTCTTTGCCTCCAGCCGAATTTCTCCTCAAACGAACCCGCATGGGCAGGCCGACCTACTGGGCTTGGCCGTGCAATGCTGCCGTCAGCGGCGCAGTATGTGCTTGTCAGAATTTGTGAAAATTTCAAGCAATTGTTCGCTGGTTTATGCTGTATGGCACCCGTCCATGGCCTCGCTGCCCACATGTACTGATCAGCTCATACGCCCTCCCTCGGCCCACCAATCGGCCACTTCGTGGCGGTTGAGGTGGGCGACTCTCACCGTGATGCAATCGTCCTGAGGTTGGGAGAATTGTCCAATCTTATCAAGAACAAATGCACACAAGTTACTGAGGACGAAACACTGACTGTCACCCGATGGCCGGCTGGGCAGGCCTTGACGATCTCCTCCTCGGCCATCTTTCCCGAACTTACAAGTTGGCACGAGCCTAGCCGCTGCATGACTGGCTTCCGTTTACCATCGCATTGCAACACTTGGCCGCCCACCACTTGGAAACTCAGGAAAAGCTCCAAAAACTTTTCAAAGCTACCTTCTTGCCATCCGAGAAAGCGCCCGCCACTAGTGTAGCAAACCGGTAACTCGAACTCGTTGGAATGCCAGGCACAGCCACATCAACTGCCTTTGGTGTCTTCGTCACCGCCGTCTTGTCGCCTGGAGTCTTTGTCTTGGTCATTACGAACTGTCAATCACTCTGTCTGGCTCAATCATCCGTGCAGCGGCGTTTGCACGACGCGCTCAAGCAGAACACGGCCCAAGAAGATTTCAACACCACACACGTTCGGAAAGCCTCGCCCTCGAAGGAACCAGAAAACTTGAGGCACAATAGCTTCGACATATGTTGATAAATCAGTGCTGTAATCGGAGACTCGATCCGCCAGTGGGTTTTTGTCTTCAAATGTTCTGGAACACTTTGAGTGGTGTCTGCTGTGTTTCTCAGTCTTTTGTCTACAAGGCCCTTGAGGAACCTTAACGGCGTAAGCACTGCAACTGCTCCGAGAGAGCAGAGACAGCGCTCGGACGCCAAGGAGGCATTGCACGACCTGTGCATGAACATCACGTAAATATCGAACATGACTTGCATGGCAGCTGCACTTAAGATAAGCAAGTGCGGCATGAAGATAGGCAGCGCGGATGTCTTTTTCAATGACATTGTGGCACATGTTCACCGGCTTGAGTTCACGCCTGTCTTGGAGGCTGAAAGATGTCAGTCAGGGGAACGCGTTCAAAGTGGAAGCGGTCCTTCCAAGCCTTGCATCGCAGTCACTTTGAGGTGTCGCTTCCTCAATTTCTTATCCCTTCCGCTCACTTCGGCTGCTTGCCAACACCTGCGAACATCATCGTCTTGCTTGAACAAGGCTGCAGCCTGATACTTGGAATCGCTGAGTTTGCGACACCAAGCGCCTTCAAAAAGCTTTGGCAAGTCATCGATATCACATGGCTGCACCAGGCTGACGACGAGAATGGCTTTCCACCAGATCTCCCGATTGATCTTCCACTCCTCCTTCTCCCAGCTCAAACGGCCACATTTCCTTTACCACAGCTATCTCACACGACCCTACTTCCGAACATGTGCATGTGCATCTCTGCTCAGCCTTATCCGCGCTCCGGTCAAACTACTGAGGCACGGTCCGCTGAGCAAAATCATTCACTGCATTATGCGGCTCGGCATCCTCGAAGTCGAGCCTCGTCCGCTTGGGCAGCGACATTGCTGCCGGCAGCAGCGAAGACACTCGGAGAATAGTAATAGCCCCAAAGTTTGAGATCACATCCCATGTGCTCAAAGCGTGACGGCAGCTGGTTGCTAAGTTCATGTTGATACCACTCGCAAGAAGCCGGAGGCATTCACACAAGCAGAGAGCCTCTTTGGCATCTTTGGGCATCGGTGGCCGCAGCAAACAGCAACTGTAAACCGTAAACAGGCATCACATTCTCCGACAATGTAAAGTTGTCAAGATGGCATGCCTCTGCCCAAACCGGGGCGCTCTTGACGTCCTCATCTCCTTTCAAAGCGGGCACTGTCAAGGCTAAGGTTCAAGGCCTCGCGACCGCGGGTAACGCATCCTCGGCGGGTCCTCGGCAGCTAACACAGACCTGCTGCTACTTGCCGGCATGCCATGAACAAGCTCAGCCACTGACCGGCAGGTCAACAACTGATACACGATCTCGCAAGTTTGATGAGACAGCTGCAGAAGCATGCAACTGCCTAACAAGACATTTGCCACCACATCAAGCCGACAAACTCAAGGGAAGTAGTGCCGCAAGAGCACAAAAGTCAGGGAGGCTCACGGAGAGGATCGGCCATTGGCTGGGGCACCACCAGACATACACACACACACACACACCTCTGCACTAACGCCTCGCTTCAGCAAATGCCAAACTCAAAGCAAGCGTTCAATCTAGCCGTGGACCTAACTTCCTGTTCCCCAAACCGCGATTTTCGTGAGAAGTCTTGCTCACCATGTGTCCAGACAATGTTTTTCCTTGTTTGCCGGGATGGAAACAAGGGAGATTCCAATAGCATGGAAAACAGTGAAGCAGGAAGTGATACTTAAAAATATTCAGGCTTTCACTCATAGGAGAAGTTAACTCCCATCGGAGATATACTTGTATTTCTGCGGAAAGTCTATGTTCAAACATTCTGCGAAGTCAACACGAACTCGGCCTTTTTCATGTCAATAATATTGTAGTATTACAGTATCATAGTCTTATAGTATCACGTATGTCGTATTTTTGTGACTACTATAGCATTAGTATAGTATAGTAGTATAATGGTAGGCATCGGGGTACCGTTCAACTTGGCTGGTGATTTCAGTTTTAGGTGCTGTTTGCTTGGCAGCGCAACACCTTTCCGCAATGAGTGCAGATGACTTTGTTCATCGCCACGCCATCATTGCACGAGGGACGCCCCCATAGGTGAGCCGAACAATTCGAAGAGTGCAGCACGGTGCACATGATTTGCAACAAGCATTGCCGAGTCAGCTCAAGCAGTGGCTCCACCGGAAAGTACGAGCGCGCATCAAGCTGCATCGCTGTCAGACAGGTAACGGAGACCGAGCCCCACAGGCGACATGGTAAGGAGGCAACAACTCTCGCATAGGCATAGATGGGGTTGGAAGAGCTGCAAAGGAACTCGTCCATCAAGCCGGTACAGGCCCATCAAAAGCCGCAAAAGGCCGGACAATTGGTGCGCTCACCATGGTCTGGACGATGACGGGAGTCGCCGAGCAGAAGAGGCAGAAGAAGAAGCAGAAGAAGAAGCAGAAGCAGAAGAGGGGAGAGATGCTCATCATCGCTTCCTTTCCACAGCACAAGGCGGGGGCTGATTGAACAGTTCGTGCCGACACGGAGGCGTCTCTTGCGCGACATTGGCGCAGAGGCGCCGAGGCGGGGCAGCAGATCAGAAACAAACGAACACCTGACCTTCAATAGTACTTACAGCTACTTATAGCTACTTTAGCTACTTTAGCTACTTATAATGCCCTCCGTGCGCAGAGCTCCTCGCCTCGGCTCGGACCTCGTGAGCCTACGTTATGGGCCGTACTGTGCTTCCGCACAAGGAGATTACAGAGAGCATCGCATACAAGTGCGTAACCTTGTCACGCACACCGGTTGCCCACTCAGATGGATGTAGAGTTTGGCACATACCAAAACCTGATCAGTGCCAGTCTGACAAAGCCTGCGTTGGGCGGCAAAAGCAGGCTTTGGGGCTGGGACAAAACAGCTATGACGGCGTAGGCTGCGCAGAGCAAGTAGCCTTGCAGCCAGTTGGACCTGAACGTTGAAGTCTCCTACCGACAGCTGCTGTATCTCTTCCGAGTGTAGAGAGCCCGACTGGCCATCCACCACCATGGAAAGGACAACTATGACGCTGAGCGTCATCACCTTTCATTGACATCGAACTCAGAATAGCCCTGCTTTTCGCGAAGCCCCGCACCGTGACGTTGAGGGCCCCGAAGTTCAAGTCCATCCTGCAGGCGTTCCATGAGAGCTGAGAGCTTTCAGAGAAGTGAGCGCTGAGATGCTCTGAGGCTGCTGGCGGCTTGTCGATGGCCCACCCCACGAGGACAGAGAAGGGGACTACGAAAAGTGCTATTTGCCTCAAGCTCATAGCAATGGTGCAACACAAGTGCACAATCTTCCACAAACTGCTCGAGACTCCAGCGTGGAAGAGCCAACTGCGATCCCGATCGATAGACCAGGCTTGTCCTGTGAGCACAGGTCCGGGCCCGGGTTAAGGGTCCCCCCCCACGGCCCAACCCCGTCCCAACCCCCTCTCCTGCATGGCAAAGCGCACGGCGGCAGCGTGCTCGCATGCATTGCCCACAATGGGCAAGAGAATGATTCCGATGAAGTGCTCACCTGGCGTTTTTCACAAGACTACCATGGAACTGCGTCTCAGCCGGTCTCAGCACCGTGCCCATGTGCGCCCGCGCCGTCATGCTCTCAATGGAATCTACCTTAAATCCAAAGCCCAAACGCGACATGCCCCACCAGCTGCAGCTCGTGACTCTCAGGTACTAGCTAGTAGCTCCGAACAGAAAGCGACAACTGCTGTCATTGCGAACAGAAGTACCTGCGAGCAAGTGTGCTTCTGGAATGTCGCAACATTGTGGCTTGACTGGTGTGGCGCACGGCTGCTGTGGTCACAGATATTGAACTTTCCTGGGAGCGGAATGGGACCACAGAGCCCTTGCACCGGCCTACCAATAGCAGTTAGATGCCCGTTGCTACCTCCTCCTCGTCGTCGCCGTCGCCTCCTTCCGCCATAACCTTCGAACCAACGGTCACGCGCCATGTTCACAGTGCAATCTTTATGCGAATCACGGAAGCCTCACGGCATGTCACACACCAAGTAAGGGTGACTTGGGGGGTTGCTCATCCATCCTTCAGCCGGGCCCTTTAACTTTAGCAAGAACATAGAATTCCAGACAAGAGGAGGCAACAGCATTTCAGACAAAGGTGGGCGATGTGAGATGCTGTTGTCTGAGAATGTCTGAGAGGCACTGAGAGGTTCTGAGCTCCGTTTGTGAGGTCTGCAACACACGAAGCAAGGTTTCAGCAAGGGTCCGAAGCCACGACTGCAAGTAGTGCCGGGGCAGACACGGTACGGTGCGTGAACAGCTGGAAAACGATATACCTGCCAAAGTTGCAAATGTTAGCCGAACTCGCGAAGGACCCCGTGCCCTCTCCAGCTGGCAGCATCTGAGAGTCGCACGCGACATAGGCAGAGACAATGATGATGGAACATGTCCGAGAGATTGGCAGCATCACCTCTTCGAGGTCACTGTGATCCATCTTGTAATGGTCTTCCAGCATCGTACCGAACACCGTCACCTGAGTCACCCATCTCTCTTCGAGATCGCAAGACGAACGGCGAGACCTCCCTCCCTTCCCTTCAGAGTGGAGCCAGAGTGAACGAAAGGCACGACAGCAAGAGCATCGAGGTATTCACCTGGCGAGTTGGCGACAGTGAGACTTTGCCGCAGCTTTGGAAGCATGGCGCGAAGACCATGGCTCCAAGGATTTTGAAGGTCTGCACCTGCCACACATAGTCACATAGTCACACAGTGAGTCACATCCCATCCCCGACAAGGACCTTCTCGGCAACCACGCTGTAGCCTCCTGTGGCTTCCTTCTCCAGGGATTCTGCATCCTCTCGCCCAAAAGCAAATCTCGGGCAAGGGAGCAAAGTGGCTCACGGCTCGCAGTCCTTCACCTTTGCTTGCTCTTCTGTCTTCCCGGTGACATTCACCTGAAAGCACCCGCTTGGGCACCGAGCATTGGGCACAACCCAATTGGGCGACAGGCTAAGCCCCCGAAGAGGAAGGACATCCCCAGCACCAGCAGCACGTTTGACAGAACAGAGCCTGCGGCACGTAGCACCGAGGCACCGAGGCACCGAGCTGTGAGCCCTCAGCATCCCTCACCTAGAAGCGTCGCTTTCACCACCGCATAGAGGCCGCCGCGCAGCGTCTGCACCTAGAGCCACGCCGCCAGACGCGCTTTGCCTTCTCCAGGCTGGGCCCGGCGGCTGGGCCCGGCTGGGGCTGGGCGTCGGGCCGTGATGACCATCTCCACCGCATTCCCGAAAGTGGCCTCAAAGGAGCGCACACGACTCCGACTCCTCCGAATCGTTCAAGCTTCAGCAAGCTTCGGGCGTTGATCAGGCCGGCGAGAAGGTCGTTCCTCAAGCCGGCTGCCAGCTCCTCACCGAGACCATCAAAGACAAGATGATCAGTTTGCTGCACCTTCCACTGTGAGCGCAAGCCGGAGATGACTCACTTCTGCTTGAAGCTCAGCCCTTTTCCACCAGCCGAAATGCTTGAACCCAGCCTCCGTGATGTCTCCCAAGATTTTGGCCATCGGAAGCATTGCCTGGCTGGTGCACTTCAGCAGCCCCGAGGCTGCTCGACTCCACCAGGCAGAGGCTCAGAGGCCCGTGCGAAGAAGTTCAGCCAAAACGTGTAGGCGGGATCCCACCTCGCAGCGCTCGCAGAACGGAGCGCAGAAAGGCGCGCGTTGCGTTGCTACGCGGTGCTACGCGGTGCTACGGAGCGCATCTGGTTCTCCCTGTCTCCCTCCTCTCTCCTCTCAGCTGCGGGCTTGAAGAAGTAGGACCAGATGCCGAAAGGGACGCAGATCATGAAGATGGAGAGCCTGTCTTGGTCGCACTTTACTGCTCTGACAGCGAGCTGACAGTGCTCGGGATGCAAGTTGAGCCGGGTCAGCGGATGCTTGAACAGGGCGATGACCCCTGTTCCTGCGGAGAGCATGACAGACAACCAAGCTGTGAAGCAAACGCACCCAGTGCCTTCGAAGTTCGGTGGCTTCTTTGCATTGGTACCTTTCACAAACCTGCGGCCAAGAAACGCTCTCTCAAGCTATGTCCTCAGCCGTGCAACAGATGACCGCATGCCTGGTTGTGTTGTGCCTTTCTCCCCCTCTTCTCAGTAGGACTTCCCCTCCATCAGCCATGGCTTCAACGGCTGTCACCGAGTGGGAAGCCAGTAATACGTGTCTGCACTTGGTCCTGGAGCTTGAAAGGTCTTTTTGATGCCGGAGTGTGCTGGGATAACGCTCTGCATCTGTTCCAGAAGAAAGCTTTGGAGCCGCCGGCATCCAAAAGAGTTCGACAGCTCTGCATCCTACGTAAAAGGAGAAGATATGCACCCGACGAGGGCCCACTTTTTTGTCCCAGTCATCGCCGACTGCGACTGCGGCTGCGGCTGCTTCGACCTGAGATCGGACACCCCCCCTCTTGCCGATGGTCCTCTCAGTGCATCAACAGCTGCAGCATGCGGCATCGTCATCTTAATCCAAGATCGCCGCTGCTGGCACTCTTGCTGCGACGCCTGCAGTATCAGGATGAACAGTCGTTCTCAAACAACTTTCCTGTTGAATGGGGCGCAACTGCCCCTTGCAGCAGTGAAGACATCCAAGAATGCAAAGGCACAAAATCCACGACATGTATGAAACGACACCGAGGTGGTCGGATCGAAATGCAAACCGAAACTTACAATCTGGGTGACATCTTTGCATGCATTCGACATCTCTTGCGACGAAGGTATCCAAATCCTGGTCCTAGTCGTGTGTTTTCATCCCACGCACCCAACTACACCTCACACTCACAAGGCAATGGAAACGGCCCGGAACACCTGCGCTTTCGCCCGCTGTCACTCGACTCGCATCTCTGCCGCCTTCCGTGGATGCAACACGACACATCACGTAAACGCTATCACAGGGCCCCAAGGCCCCACCGCGGCCGAGAAGATCGTGACCTGGATCGAGAGCGACGTCTTCGTCCTTGCGGCAACATGCTCGCGATCCAATAGCTGGCAGCTGCCAGATGTACCGTGGCTCGCAAACTTCTCGGCGAGCTGTGCTTTTTGAAGCCCAAGTTTCGTGGTCCATGCAAGTGCCCAGGATTCTGCACGACACTGCCGCACTCAGACTCAATATGACAACAGGGACGGCATCTAAACTTCTGAACTTCCGAGTGCGCCCTCCTCGGCTGGTGGATCTTCGTCTGCTGCGCCGTGACTTGGACCGTTTCCGCCTGCACACGACATGAGGGACTCTCTGAGGGCCTAAAGGCAGCTGGCAGCGCGCTTCCCGTCGTCGCGCCCCGTCTCTGCACGTGCCTCGGCGCAGGTAGCGGTGGGAGGTTAAGAGGCGCGGGGCCCCCAAGCCCCCCGGGCCCTCCCAGCCTCCTCCCTGCTCCGATTGGCTTTGGAGACGCTGAGAGTGCTGCCCTCCGAAGGGAGGAGGAAGCAAGCGGACGCGGGAACGGACCTTCAGCCCCTCGCTTCGGAAGCTAACGTCCGGCCTCAAACTTCGTGCCATTCATCTCCTTGATTGCCTGCGGCCGCTCTTGCAAAGATGCATGCGGCGAGTTGGGCGTCGGCCTCTGTTGCATCCGTGTCGTCCTTGAATCTCACGAAGGCAAACGGCCGAGGTCTTCCGGAGAGAGGCGCAGCGACGCAGACGTATACAACGACGCTTCCCCGCCTGTCAGAGAATCTCTCGCGCGGAATGAACACATCTCCGATGTCGCCAAACCTTAGCGCGCACGGCAGCCGCACAGTACCGACGGCAGGCTTGGCCTCACCGAGTTCCACTTCGCCCAAGTCACTTCTCGAAGGACTTGCGGAGTTCTTCAGCTGTCCAGTTCTCGGGGATCTGTCCAGTGACATCCACCTGTCAAAGACTTTGAAAAGACGCAGCCGGGGCCAATGGCCTTCTTGCAGGGATCCAAACACTGCCTTCAGTGATGTCCTGAGTCGCACGCGTGCCCACATGCTTCTCTCTCTCTCTTGCTCTTTGTCTCCCTCCTTCCCTCTTTGCTTGCTTGCTGCCGGCCCCTCCCTCCCTACCTCCCTCCCTCCCACTCTTTTTCTCTCTCTGAATACGCACGGTATTACATGATTCCTTCTTGGCAAAAGGATTGCATGTTAGCATTTGTTCACAAAACTACAAAAGGGGACCTCGGATCAGCAGCATCTACCAGATACACGTGCAGAAGGACAACAGCCATCTCTCTTCCCTCCTTCCTTTCATCAGGGATGAGTCCGCGGCGCGGACCCCCTTCCCTGTCTGCACGGTGGAAAAGGCTTTCGATCAATACAGGAGAAAAATACGATGGGAGGGACGCGGGGAGGGAGGAAGGCAAAATATGTGTTTGCAAAAGCAATATGCTACAACACAAGGGCTTACCGTTCTATACGGGCCAAAAGCATGAAAGGCTTGAAGCTTCTGAAATTATTTTTGCCATCCCGCTTCAAAGCTTTTAGCGGGTTTTAGGGTTCACGGTCCTTAGGGTTTTCAGGGTTTAAAGTCTCAGGAGTTCAGGGTTTAGGGACCTTCGATAATTTTTTTTGTTTAAGCCTCCGCAGAGCAGTGTCAGTGAAACTAAGGCGTTTGGACCGCAGCGCGTTCGGGGTCACGCCCTCCTGTTCTAAGGAGAGGGGATGGACAGGGCAAAATTGAAATTCCGTTAAAATAACCAAAACCGAGTTTAAGCTTTTGATCAGTTTTTGTCTTCTGCATCAAGCCGATAAAAGAGTGCTGATAGGAACCTGCTCCAGTCACTGGTCGTGGGGCATTCGCGCGACTTGAGCCCTAAAGTCCTATGTACGGGGTTTGCAAGCTGAAGGTCAACGCTGGCGATTTTGCGTTTTTCCCAGCAGCCGCCGCCTTGAAGCCAAACTGCAACAGAAGGCGTCGTTCAGCGCTGAGTCACTGGATCGCGACCACCACCCAGTTCTGCATTTTGCGGACACCACCCCAGAAAGCCATGAGTTTGCCGCATAGTCTGTTCCCGACGACGTCGCGGATTTTGGATGCTCTCTAAAATCTCTAAGCGGGATTCCAAACCCGCACCGAAAAGCACCGAGGAGCCGAAAAGTCTGCCCCCGCCACGACTGGATGCTTCGAGCATGTCGAGGTCCAAAACGCGCGCGGCACTGCGGCGGCGAGAGCGCGACTTCCGAGCTGCAACGCGCAGATCTGCTGTAAGTTATTTTCGGAAAACCACACTTGCGGCCTGCCGCATGCGAGGCAGAGGCGAGAGCGCGAAGCGCCGTCCAGCATACAGGTGCCCTTCTGCATCGCGGGATCCTGTGACAGGCTGCAGCTACGCGGGTCACGTATGATGTTGGGTTCAATGCGGACCTTCAAAGTTTGTTTGCCTCAGCGAAGCACCGAAACTGCACACATAACCCGATCCAGACGTGGTGCTCCCCCAACCTCCATGCCTCTGTTCCTTTGGCAGAAAAAAGCCGCTCTGCGAGGCACTCCCACGCCGACGCCTGTGGCACCAAATATTAAACCCATGCCTAAACGTATTTGGATCTGTGTTTTCAGGAACAAGGGTTTTGGGTACAGGGGTTAAGGCTGAGTTTAGTGGGGTGTGGTCCTCAGGCTCCCACCAGCTCCAAAGTCCTTTCACCCAAATCCCGAAAAATCTTTGCATCTGGACTCTCACGGAAGATGCTCGCATGCTTCCATTTGCCGGGGTCACGAAGGCTTCACCTCGTGCTAGGCCGCTAAACTTCTGCACGCCATGGCGCGGCTCTTAGTGCTCAGGATTGCAGACCTGGCATCATCTGAGTCATCTGAGTCTTCCATGAGCCAAATTTGGGAACCAGCCTTCGGAAACGGTAGCCACCTCAGGGAAGCGTCCAATGCCGGTCGGCCTTTAGAACCCTGGTAGTTAGCCAGAGTTTCTCAGAAATTGCAAAATGTTCCATGCGCTGCAGCACAGCCAAAGAACGATAAAAGCCGCTAACACCTTGCCTTAGTCGGCGTGCTTTCGCACATGCCTCCAAGAATTTAGCAACTTGCGAACCGTGCGGACGGCAAGCTAATAGAAGACAAACCAGCCCCATGTACCTCGGATGAAGGAACAGCCGCGTCCTGAAGATCGGTCGTCGCTGACGTCATGTGCTGTGGGTGAGTCTACGCCGACTTGGGGTCGGAACTTCAGGACTTCAGGGCTCTCCGAAAACTGTTGCTTTGATCCTTGAGAGATGCCGGTGCGTCATGCACATGCTGAGCCGACAGTTGCGAGTTGCGAGGCAGGCTTGCAATCATGTACGCACTGATGTTGAACATGTGCGTGCGCACACGCATACGCACCTACCTACATTCATACACTCCCACTTCCCGACATACACATACACACGCATACGCGCGCAGGTACCTACGAAAAGATCTGCGTACGTGCACACCCAAACATGCGTATGTATATGTATACACACTATGTACATGTATAATGTATACTGTGCGTATATGCATGTGTATGTATGTATGTATGTATGTATGTATGTATGTATGTATGTGTGTATATGTGAAAATATCACGTCCCTCTTCTCCCCAGATTTTGCCAACATCCGTTGGCTCAAGACACACTTTGCTGTGTGAAGAAAGGCGCTGCAGAACTTCAGGGTTACTTTGCGCCACAGTCGTGTGAGCTTACGTAGCGTCTACTGTAGGGCACGTTGCATCGGCCTGGCCTAGACTTGATCCACCAATCTTGACTAGCAGTGACTAACTACTACCGGCAATAACCTCCGGCCCTCAACACAGGTGCGGGCGCGGGCACATAGACACATCCGCACCAACTGTCGAACCATCCACTTCATACCAGCTTAATGCATGCTTGCATGTGGGAAAGCCTTTACGCAGCGGGGCAATGCAGAGCAAGCGATATCTCAGGTACCCGCAAAACGGCTTCCCCCAAACGAACAAAAAAACAGCAAGCGGAACCCTGCTTGAACTCTCTTGTCTTCCGGGCCTGGAGTGCGGAGTGCGCATGCAAAACAAGGGCAGGCCAAATCCTCTCAGTTACCCACAAAAAAGGGAGCCGGTCCCGTGCTTTTCAAACCTGGGAGTTTCTGTTCCGACCCTGATTTGCACCTTGTAAGACAAGCAAACGAAAAAAACGAGCGAACGAAACCAACAAACACAACTCAGGCCCGGACAAGTCTTGAATCAAATCCTGCTCAGCTTGCACTTTTTGGAGGCGCAAACGACGTTGCTCCTCCAATCTGTTTTGCTGTTCCGCCTGCTGCTCTTGTTGCTTCTCCCCCTCAGCCTTCGGTTCCACAGGCTGGTGTTGGGGGCGCTTTTTACGCGGCAGGGGACCCTTCAGGATCGGATCTTCAGCTTTGTGCGGCATGGTTGCTTGAGCCGAAAAATTCGCATTATCCAGGTTCCCGACAGAAAAATGGGGGGTCCTAATTCATGCCTTTTTTAGCTGGGGGATTTTTGTTGATGGGTTTGCTCCTGTCTGCTAACGGTCAATCTTACGGCACCCAGGACCCCAAACCCCCACTCCAAGCCCGGAAATCTCCATAAGAGAACGAAAATCCAGCTGGCCGCCAGAGACGGCCGTTCCAGCACTAAAGTTGTACTAGCAGAGAACGAAAATCCAGCCGGGCTTGGTTTCGAGCTTTTTGTAGTCCCCAAGCCCTTCTAAACAGCTCCAGGTACCCCTAAACCCTCGTACCGTACGTACTACTACTGTATTATTACTGTGCTACACTACTGTACTACCACAGAACTACTACAGTACTACTATTGTACTACTATTGTACTACTATTGTACTACTACAGTACTACTACAGTACTACTACTGTACTACTGCTGTACTACTGTTCAGTACCAGGCCTCAGACTTAAGTCGATTGTGGAGGGGAGTCTCTCTCTCTCTCTCTCTCCGCGGGCGCTGTGTAGCCGAAGCTCATTCCGGAGATGTCTGGAAGTCCACCTGTCCGCCAAGATCTGAAAAACTCCCACAGCTGCAGGTCGCCGCAACAGCAGCCAGCAGCCTCCAGGTGCCATGACGGCCGTGGAAACCCACCGGCCCACACCCCTGGGCCTCAAATCTCCACTCTATCATAATGAGCCAATGCCTGAGACGTTTGCAAGCGGTACTCCAGTGTCCTCGCTTCCTCTCGTGTCGCAGATTCCTTGCTCGCTTTTTGACATCGACCTTCTCGGCGGCTCCTACAAACAGCGGTGCACGGCGCGTGCACTGCAAGAATCGTCCGGCCTTTGCCAGCCTTCCGCTGAAAATGCCAATAACTGTGAAACGGTGCCTCTGCCGTCACTTGAGGATGTCCAACATCCCACCTTCCGGGCCACCATACAAGAGCTCCAGGCACCTGACACGAAGCAGGCGACGAACCCACCCCTCCCTCTTGACCCACTTGGCCTGTCTTGCTTCTCCTTCAGCCATTGAGGCATGTCCTAGCAGCTCAAAGGGAGGCGAATTCTGAACTGTGCAGCCGACTTCCACTTGACTTCGTCCTTGCCGGTTCTACCGGCATGCTCGCGGATAGCAGCGGTCATCTCACGAACGCCGTGCTCGTTGCCCTTGAAAGCTAAGTCGAGCTTGGAACAGGCACTCATGGCACAAGGAGCCGTCGGGGCAGCCTCAAAACCCCACTTCTCCAGAACGGGCTTCTGAACTTCAAAGGCCACATCCTAACCGGCTCGGCTTCAGTGGGACGCGATCAATGGCGCAACCGGCGCAACCGCTCCGCGAGCGCCTTGAGACGCATCAAGAAAACAGACCGCTCGAAGCCGGAGTCTCGAGCACATTTTCGCACCCGCTCCTGTCAGAGCACACAAACAGAATTCGTCCATTCGCACCCGCTCCGGCCGCTCTGTGCCTGGAACCACTTCTGACCTTTGCACAAGTGCAGTGTGTAACGGAAGCTGCGCAGCTACACCTCAGGACAAAACCGTATGCTGCTGCGAGCTCATCCATCAAGTCTCCAGCCTCGAGGGCAACACTGCGGTCCGACGGTGCGCTTCAAGCACGGAAGGCGAACCCTCCATACCACTGAGATCACTGGTCATCGTGCATGTGCTTTGCTTGAATGCTACCAGGCCATGTGAGGCCCGACCCATGCTGGTAGCTTCCTTAAGAGGCGCGCCAGTGCTGCAGTCAGCTGGATCTTGCGTTCTAGCGGTCGCGCCTGTGCCTGTCAAGAGACCAAGGGGTGTCAGCTGGTGCAGAGAAGATAGCCCATAGCACAATGTAGAGCAGCACTGACGCAAACCAAGGCGCCTCCAAGCTCTTCCTCTGCTCCGTGGAGACCTCAGAAAGAGAGAGCGAGCCTTTCCTATGTCGACGAGGCTGCTCTGCCCTGCTCTGCCTGGCCTGCATTTGCGCAGGTGGCTCCTCCAACTTCTTGGCAGCCTCACACCAAGAAAAGGCTGGGAAAAAGTCGTTGGAAGTTGCAGGGCAGGTAACAAGAGATCAGGGCAAATTCCCGGCCTCCTCTAACTCGCGATCTCTGTCAATGCTGAAGACGCCCGCCTTGCAAGCAGCACCGGCACAAGCAGCTCCGGCCCATGTGTCGCCGTTGTGCCATGGTAAGCCCCTGCACTCCAGTACCTCGAAGGCTCGACCCAACATTTCTTGGGTCGATTGTCGATGCTTGACTCGCGCCACCTTGATCCTTGCAGGGGACATAAACACTTCATGAGTGATCTCCGCTTCTTCCAGCAATCCGGGCTCCTCTTTCTCTCTGCCTCGCAGTCTCTCAAAATGCGCCGTCTGTCGGGACCTCGACGGCAATCCAAACCCGTCAGGCGATCGTGAATCGTGAGTTTATCCTGTGAGACACCTGCAATGGCAGCGGGCCGCCGCAGGGTGAGGTCGCCAGCTCAGTCCGACACACCACTGAGCCACATCCTCTAGCTTTGCTAGCGACTCTTCTGCCTGCGCGCGAGAAGTAAACCACCCCAACCACATCTGCTCGGACGACGCGGTCCGGCCTCTTTGAATCTGCCAAGGCCCTTCTCTGCTTGCACTTTCCTGCAACACCGGCTGGGGCGAAGTCTTGGGGACCTTTTTTTGGGGGCAGGGCCTGTACCAGGCTTTGTGGTCCTCCGTGTCGATACTTAGCGCCGCGTCGGAGGCCTCCTGTAAGTTACTGTAAGCTGCACGCCTTCCCTAAAGTGCAAGCGAAAGCACAGCCAGATTGACACCGCAGCTTTCTCGGATCGAGCGTTATCGACAAGTTGCGAGGCATGCCGAGGAACACTGTTGTAGCATTGTAGCGCAGATCCACTGGCCAGCACTGACCAGCTAGGAATAGAAACAGTGAATTGTCAAGTTTTGTAGTTCTTCGGCCGCACCTCCCGGAAAAAAAACAATAAAACTGTAGACCCTCCAGCTACCGGAAGAGGAGTGGCTGTTGCGGCGTCCGCGATTGGTCGAATCATGTAGTTGCTGGCTCTTCCTTCGCGAACATGTTGTTCACCTTAACATAAAAGCCTTGCAGGTGAAAAGCGAGACATGCGCTTCCAAATGATGTCCGATTTCTGTTCACAGAAACAGAAGCCTGCAGGTGCAGACGTGGCAAAAGGCAGACAAAAGCTGGTCCAGCGCGGTCTGAAAGAGCTCCAGCTTTAGAGCTGCTTGCGCTTTGTTCCTCGGTACACGACGCAAGGCGCAAACATGCCAAATGCTCTTTCTTTGGTGCCCTTCTTTGGATGCGGTCGAGTCCACTTGAGGCAAGCCAGATGATAGTCTTTCAACCACTTCTCCTCGTTCTTGAGATGCTTGGCCACCTGGCTGGCACAGGAAAAGGACTGCAGGGACCGAGACTGGCACTCGCCTTCCACTTCTTCATGGCATCATCGGCTTGTGAGTAGATATACAGGGCCTCTCGGACCACTGGAAACACTTCTCTCGCCCTTCGCCCTTTCTCGCAGCTGTCAGTCCAAGGCCTCCTCGTAGAGGCCCTCCTGGAACTTGAGGTTGCCTTCGCGCTTGCACTCCTCACGGCAGCAGCTCCTTGAAGCCTAAGCTCACCAGACATGTCTCCAGCACCTGCGCGTACTCCAGCACGTGCTTCAAGGTGTGAATGTCAATGCTTTGCGGAAGAACTTCCTTCTTCTTCTCCTCCTCAGGCGGAGTCTGTATTCTCATCGACCCTTGAGGCATGCTGACCTGAGAGGCGGACAGCTTCTGCCATCGCCTTGCACTGAGCATGCCTCGGAGAAAGGATGGGGAATGTGGGTTGATCCAAACGACAAGCTGCTGAGTCGAGCACCACTCTTTTTCCATGTCCGCCATTCGCTCCTCTCACACGCCCTTTGCTTGCCGGAAGCCAAAGTGTCTCGTGGCCTCTCCGCCAGCTTGGAAGTTTTCCCGCATCTTACGTAGCTGATCTGCCGTCCTCAGAGTGTTCAGCTCCATCTGCGCTTGGCATGTCAGATCGCTTGATCACTGTAAGGGGCCCACGCGCCATCCTTCAACTTTTCCTTGAAGTCTTTCTGTTTCTTGAAGCACTCATCGTAAATCATCCACCTCAACGGGCACAGATGGGCAGCGATGGTGACGTATGCGAACATGAGGCGCCAGCAAGTAATCCTCAACAAACCTGATGTGGAACATAGGCGCCACGAGCTTCTTCAGGTCAGCAGGTGCTTCCTCTCGTGAGCACCCCAATCCCCAGGGACCAGAGTTGCAGCGGCCACTGGTGGGCATCTCCTCCAAGGCATCAGCGAGCAAACGACGGTGCTCTGCTCGTTCCTGACATGTGCGGAAGAGGCAAAACGTAAGCAAGCACAGCAAGCGTAAGCAAGCGTAAGCCCATCCTCTACAGCTCTCCGCTCTTCCAGCCACAGGCGCTTCTTCTCCTGCAAATCAAACACAGGTGCAGAGCACGGCTCAGCCGAAAGGGGCTGCGCCTGCAGACGCCTTTCTGCTTGGTATGCCGCTTTTGCATCTGGTCTTCGCATGAACTCATTCCAGAAAGCCTGTGGGATGCACTGGCTGCACAGACCTGTCTCTACAGGATGTTGTCCGGAGGAATATGGGGAATGCACAAGCACGGAAAGAAGGGGATGAGGATCTCGATCCTGTCTCGCTCATGCACTGCCTTTGCACACTGCATCTCCTTTTCGATCAACCAACTGTACAATCAGGACATTCTTTTTTGCTTCAACAATGTTTCCGGAGGGCCTGGCTGTTGATGTCACCGTTCGCCATCTGCGACATGGTCCCATTGGCTCGCAAAAGCCGCGAGGTACTATTCCGACTCAGCTATTTGGCATCTGCGTTACAACACGACGCATGGAACTGTGAGGAACTGGTACGCGCTATTGGTCTCGCATTCCTAATATTCGCGTCATGGCATGGATTGCTCTTTCGGGCGACAAATGCAACTTGAAGCTAAGTCACGCAATGGGCAACACATCGCCATTCGCTGGCGGCAGCAGTCAGGGCCACCAGGGCCATCAGCTCAAGGCTTGCCCCTTGGCCCTTTGCCACATTCCGCATTTTTCCGCCAGCGGACAAGCGCTTCACAGAAACTCTGCCAGGTCTGCCGCTAAGACCCTGGGAGTCCGTCTGCGAGAAATCAGCCTACTTTGCATAGGATCATTGCAGCAGCACACCAATCCCGCCGTCAGCGGCATTTGAGCCTGCGCTTGCTGCAACGTCGAGGTGGATAAGACTGCGGTTGACACAACACTCCCCGCAAAGTCAAGCAAGCCTTCATAGGATACGGATGTATGGCCGCCGGTGGCATGGGCGACCTAAGACAAGCACGTGCAGGATCAACTGGCTAGCGCAGATCTTGTCCGAGAGCTCTACACAGACGGTGGCACGGACGACACCGGAACGCCATAAACATACTTCTCCAAATTTGCCTCTCCACAACAGAGAGCGAGCATGCACGACGTGCACAGCCACGTTTTCACCCTGGTCTTGCCTGCGCTTGCTCTGCCTGTAAGGCCGCCAAGTTTGTATTTTGAGCCATTGCAATTGCCTGCCGTCTGACACAAAGCACCACAGTACCAGCACTTCGGAGGGAAAAAGTTCCCGAACTCGACTAGAGTCTTGCCTGGGCAGCTGCTTGCTTGGCAGCTGCAGAAGCGGCTTTAGCTGCTGCAACTGCTTTGAGACCCATGGCTCCTAAGAGTGCTTGAGAAACAGAACTCCCGCTCTTCGTGCGCGGGATACCCATCGCCTGCGATTGTCATGTCGATCGGCCTCAGCTTGAGGCCACGTCACATGTTGCCATTTCATGTCAACTGCGTCTGAGATCCAGGCATGGCGACAACAGCAAACCGCGGTGCCCAGGCACCAGCGCGGCACGTCAGCAAGGTTTGTACGAGTAGCTTTTGCAGTTGCTGTTCCGATCGTTACCTGGAAGTTGCCGGGCCTTCGTCTTGATTTTTTGGGGTTTTGCTGGAGAGTCGCTGAACAACCTGCGCAACGTTCTTCGATGAAGGCTGGCTTGAACTCTGTCACCGACATACTCCAAAAAAACGGCAAAGTGCAAGAACCGGATCTCGCGCAGCGCTTGCGACAAGCCAAAACCGAAGGGACGAGGCCTGCACTCAGGGAGACAGAAGGACCTATCCCCTGCAGACTTACACGAAGCTCGGTACCGGCTTTCGCGTCCTTCTCAAGGCATCTAACGCAGGCAGAGACAAGTGCAAAAAGGCACCTATGTCTGCCTCGAATTCTTTGAATTGGCCTTCACGTTTGGGACTCCGTTTGGAGCTGGCGCAGGAGTGCACGTGCCTGGCAGCGAGAGCTATCTGCAATCTGCAAATCGCACCACTTCCCTCACCCGGTCTCCTCGGAGAATGCCATCGCAAATCGTCGGTTCTCCAGTATGTCCTTTCGAGCGTCACACAGGCGAGGACCCGCTCGCGCGGATACGGCTTGAGGGCTTGCGGCCTTCAGCAAGCTCACCGTGGCAGCCTGCTCGCCAGGCTTTTGACCTGAGAGAGCAGAGCTCCGGAGCTCCGGCCCGCTGAGGCGAAACCCTGCTCCGCCCGGCTCCTGAGTGTTTGGCCCACTGCCAAGGATCGCAGAGAGGCCTTCGACGTGCCGACGCGCTCTGAAGGGGGGGCCAAAGACACGATGGGGCCAGGGTCGGGGCCGCTCGCAGCAGGGCAAGGACGGCCGTGGGATGTCCAGCCTCGACCTGACGCAGAACAGGACCGGGCCAGGCTGGGCCCCGGCACGTGTCCACAAACCTGGCGCCTGGTGTCTGGTGGCCGTCGTCACTGCCTCGCAGCGAAACGGACAGAGAAGCTCGCAAAGCCTTCGGACGCGAAAAATAGCCTCCAAAGCACCAGTCGGCGAAGATTCCAGCAATCGGCCTGCCGAAGTCTGTAGATCAAACAACAACACAAGACACAAACCCCATCGAGGCGCAAGCGAAGAATGGCATCTAGGGTTTCATCGCAAAGCCGCGCAGTCACCTTGCGACGAGGGAAGCGTTGACACCTTCCACACCAACTGCACATGTCGCTTGCCGAGTTCTCAGATGCTGTGGACCCTGCAAGTCCTGCACAACAGCTTACAGAAACCAAACATGATGGGTTTCATGTCAAAACGAATAGAGTCTCCGGAAAGCCGCCAAGAAATCTGACCACCCTAGGCCCTAGCTTCACCCTGCAAAAAACCCTTTCACGCCGAGGCGCCTTCGTCACCAGCACGGCGGCCGAGACGCAGCGCAGGAGCTCGGAGCCTCGAGCCGCCCAGGCCTGGGCCTCACCTCACAAAGCACAGTAGGCCGGTACTAGGCCGCTGTAGGCCGCTGGGAGGCCCCCTTGAGAACGGCGGCATGAAGAGAGTTTACATGGCTTTCTTCTGAGCAAGGTGGTTTTCCGCCTGATCGGATCGGCCTTTACAGGACTTCCGATTCTCATTCCGAATTGCCTGGGATTGGCGAAAATTCTCGGGATGGTGCACAGGGAACAAGGCGCTCGCAGGGCGCGTGCTCCCCCCGAGAACCCAAAGCGCCCACGGCACAAAACAGGCGGCTGCCCGACAACGACTGTTGCAACATGTCTGAGAATCTGCACCTAGCTTCGCTGTAAGCTCTTGCGCCCTGTGCAGGCTCTGGCCTGGAAGGTGACACAGCTCCTGCAGCGCTCGCAGGGCTGTCTTGCCCAGGGCGGGCCTCCGGCTCCTGTGAGACGCAACTGCCATGCTGATCGTCGCAGAAGTGCATATAATGGAAGGACCGGAAGAAAGTAAACTCACCGCGGCCTCTGAGTGCGAATCACCGTCCCCCGCTAGCCCATTGTGCGACGCATGTCTGTGCTCCGGTCCTGCTATGACAACCATCCCACATCTGTGGCAGGCTGTGGCTTGTCTCCCCTTTCTGCGGCAGGAGTTGGGTCCAGCGCTCCGTGCAGTGGCCACCTCAGACCTCCCCTCTCTTCCTTTGCTCTTGGGCTCCTGTCCCCTCTCCACTCTGGTTTCCCAGCATCTCATCATGAGCCCGCTTAAAGTTTGTTGCTGCTAAGCCCGCCAATCTCTGCAGCCTGAACACACACAATGACCAAAAGCATCCACACCAACCACATAGCCAAAAGCCGAAACCGCACAGCCCACAACCAGAATTTCAAAACCTGCGACATTCCAACACCGGAATTTGTTGGCAGCTCTAATCCCAATGAAAGCTTCTTCGCGCATCAGCTCCGTCGCGCAGGCTCCGCTCTGTCCAGCCCTAAACCCTAAACTGGGAAAACTCCAGGAATGCAATCAGATTTCTTGCGTCGTTCAATTTGGGTAACTTGCCTTCGGGACAAACCTGGATCCCAGATGATTCCATGCCAAAGTGCAGAAACAGCTCTGCATTCTCCCACTTGCTGCATCTGTGTGGAAGAATACACTCACTGGGGCCGCAACCCACATCGGCGAGAGACTGCGACCAGCAAGTCGGAGGAGACCTCTTGAAGTCACATGAAAAGCCCAGGTTGAGAAACACTTGGCGCAATGTGCCTCGTGGCTTCCATGGCTTCCATCTGCATGAGCGATTGCCTGCAAGTCAATGCTTTGTTTGTACGCGGCCCGGATGCCTCCGCAGAAACCCCGACGAAACTCAGCGTCAGGCAGCCCGAAGCTTGTTGATTCGGCCTGTATCCTCGGACCAGGAACTTTCCTTCACCTGACAAGGAAGGGTGGTAAAACTCAACCTCGAGCTCACAAACCGTCTGTCTTGAAACGTGGAGAACAAAAGTGCGGCTGTTGTGGTGTAAACATGCGTAAACACACTTCCATAATTTCCGGAATCCCTATGCCGTGGCCTCTTCCTCCAAATGACACACCGCTTGCCAGTCTGCGCACGTGGCGGGCAGGTCCTTCTTCAGCGCAGGATGGAGAAAGAGCATTCTCGATGCCCCAACTCAAATCCACAGCAAATCCAGGGGCCTTTGCATGATCCACGTACTCTCGACAGTGAGCTTCGTCTGAGTACTTCACCAGGCTTACCAGCACTTCTTGGCACAACACGGCCACGCCGAGGATGCTGCCCCCAAGTACCGGCACCGAAGTCTGGGAGCTCATCCTAGTTAAAGCTCCGAGGAAAGACGTGGATTCAGAGAGGACTTCCACTTTCACCAGTCCTGAAAATCCCCACCAGGTCGACCTTCCCAGCGGCGTCTCGAGGCAGCAAGAGGTGGATGCAATCAGCGTCCACGCCACATGCCTCACAAGAACGCCCCGAGCCCTCGGACTCGGACTAAGGCTGTCGACCACCGCCTCGCTCAGGGCCCGCTTGAACTCCGCGCTGCACCTGGCCGAAGCAGCGGCTTCGGCCTTCGCCTCTCCTCGCCTCGAAGGCCGAGGGGGCCGAGGCCCCGACGCCAGAGCCTCGCACGCCGGCCGGCTCGAGGATCGGCTGGGGCTCTCGTCGCCCGGATACCCAGCCTGAGCCATGCAACGGAACCCACAGATCAGAGCAGAGCCCTCAGAGAGACCCTCACCTGCTTCGTGGCCCGCTGCTTTGCTAGCACCTGTCACGGCACAGGTGCTCGCGGCGCTCCGTCCGGAGTCCAGAGTTGCTTTCTCAGCTGCCTCGAGATGGGATAGCACCTCTCGTAGCTCCACCTGCTGCTTGCGCCCGACGGACACCAGCCACATAATATCGAAAACATTCTGCAATTGATGAATCGGCTGCAGTGCTTTCATCTGTGCATATACAAGACAGGGGTTGCCAAGGCAACACTGCCTCAAAGCTCACGGACAACAAACAAGTAGCGAGATCAAACAATCCAGGACCCGACATGCACGCGATTTCGATTTGTGGTGGCCGCAACCGTTCCATCGTACTAATCCACTACGCACGAGCTTTTTGCCCATTAGACTGAATTTATACACCGAATTTGCCAAACCGCGCCGGGCCAACCTCTGACACATTTCCCATGATGCCAAGTTGGCTGCCAGCTTTGCTTGGCGTAGACGAGCCTAGAATCAATCTAAACGGAAACCAATGCCATGCGCCTCGTGCTGTGAAGCTGCATAACTTGTTGAGGCTGCAACCTAAACAGCCCAGTGCGAATGCGGCGAATCGGTCCGCAATCTCACAACAGCGCCGAGAACATAGATTCAGAGCTGGTGCAACGAAAACTTGACAGCCTCCCTCGATGCCACTGGCGATGCGTGCAACACTGCACCTGGCACACATGTCCTCATGACAAAACAGACCATCAAACCCAACGATACAACCCGACCGTGTTCAGTGGCCTGCAGTCATGACGCGTCGCTGCAGATACGAGTGGTGTCATGGAACGACCGATGTGCAGAGGCATGTCAGTTCATATCGCGTTCCTTGACAACGTGATTGCTTTTGCCATGCATAACAAATACGTCTGCATAAGCTTGAGTCAACATCTTGTCTTCGAGCCGTATTGCGCGTCGGACAAACAACAAGGCGAGTAGATGAAAAGTGCCAGCGAATGCACGTGATCCAGATTTTCAGGACATGGTTGGCTGATGTCCCAACGTCCTCAAACTGAACGCCAATGGCTGCATCACAGCGTCAAACACATTGCCATTTCGAATTGGCATAAGCACCATATGCACGCAAAAATACGGGAAATGCACTGGACGAACACGCACGACGAACTTGCACGATGTGCTTGCACGAAATGACACCACGCCAAAAAAGACCGGGCACATAGTGCGAACACGGCACACACAAGGTTGGACAACACGCATGATCCATACTGGGTTGCATCTCTCAAGACCTTGATTTGCGACAGCACCCTGCAAGAACAAATCCTGCACACACGCGCACCTGAGCAGACTACACCCTTGACAACACACCATGCGTGTACCAAGCCATTGCCGTCAATGTAGTCGTGGACAAAGAGATGGATGCCACGTCGGCACGACATGGCTTTGGGGTGTCTCGGCTTTGTGTTTTCTGTGAAGTGAACTAGCAAAGCCACGATTGCAAGGTCCAGGATGCATATGGGGGAGCACGCATTGAGAGGCTGGTCGCATATTTTGCATTTGGAGAATCAATCACCACCAATGGTTTGGACATGGCTTGTCGCTCACACCATGCACAACGCCCAGGTGCAGGCAATTTTTTGACGCAGTGCATCTCTGCTTCGCGTGAGGTTTCGCGATGCCCCGGCCAAATCGGATCCGAGAAGAGAAGCAACCCATCAGAATCTCTTAAGAAGAAAGAACTAGCCGCCATTTTGGCGCAGCCGTCTTGGCGGCTCGGTAATACCAACATCGAACCTCAAGTCGAGCTCAGCATCCCCAGCGCGGCACCGCAAATTCTCATACGGGACTGGGCAACGAGGATTCCTTACTGGCCCTTCCACTGAGGTCATGGCAGGCGCAGTAATGCGAAGTCAGCCTGGCGAAACAAAACCAATGGACTAAAGAAAGGTTTTCAAAGCTTGCCAGGACCACCCTGACAAAATTCCAGCCACAACGCCAATGTTGTAGCAAGCCTCGGTCGGGGACGCTTTGGATTCTCAGCAGGGAGGGGTAGAAATGCTCCGAAACTCAGCGCCCCTCAGCGCGATGATGCAGTTCATTACCTTGGTGTCAGTCCAACAAGCATCGCCGAAATCCCACGTTGCCAAGCCTCAGCCCGAGTTCCATGAGCTGTTCCTCAGGTAAATGCGGGCCGGCGTAGTCCCACAGCTTCAAGAAACCATAAATGATGCCTGCAAGAAGAAGGCATGGTGCACCGAAGTAACAACATGAGCACATAATGACCAAGAAAATACTAATGTCAACGACGTGTCCTGGGGGAGCGGGTGTGCTACTCGTTTTATGCGCGGCATGAACGAGCATGATTCCGTGCAGAAAACGGTCGCGCAACAAATTTCCTGCGGAATCGTCGTGCAAAAGAGGTCAACGGCTTTTGCTTGCTTCCTACGCTCCGGGAGGGGTGTGGCTGCCTCTTGTGTATTGCACATGTCCTACATGTCTCGAACTGCTTGTTTTGCAAACGGGTAACAATCTAGCAAAGCGCTGGAGCCAGGCAAAAACCGGCCGTGACATTACAATGTCGAGTTAGGTTGTTGCAAATTCGGCGCGAGATCGTATCAGCCGACAAATTCAATGTGGTTGGTCCGTGAAGCTGCCGACGGTAGCAGAAAAGTGTTGTTGATCTGACTCTGATTTCTTCCTTCTCTTAGGATGCACGGTCAAAACCGGGCATTGAGCGACAATGTCGGCTTGAAATGTGCTTGGTCGGGTGCAGAAACGACGACTCCCAGATGAAGAAAGTCCATCAAAGAACCCTTCATGTCTCTTTCTTGAAATAGTTTATACTTGTCCAAAACTCCCAACGGAGAACAGCCTCACCATCAAGCAGTTCCAACAGTTCCAACTTGCACATTTCACGTCAAACCCAGGGTGAACACAACTCACAAAGATTACACAAACACAATGCTGTGAAACTGAGTCCACAACGCACGTTCAAGCTATGCAGATCGTTTTTGCAACACCGGTCAGGCGCTGGCAAAAATACAAAAGACGCAAAGCATGTGCCACGTGCCACCAAGTTGATGTGAAGTCACTGCGTTGAAAATGACGGATGTGGTTACTGCGGTATCTTGACGGAACGAAACTGTCGCAAAGATGCCCGTTCGTTTTGCGGATCAGTTCGTGTCAGCGATTGCAGCACGAGAAGGCGTTAGTGCTATACACCGCGAACTAGACACGCCATCGACGAAGTTGATACGGTTTTTCATGCTACGGACAATGACACGAACCAGAACACGCTGTGAGGTTGATGCTGCCGTTCTTGACTGTAGTTCGTACCATAACGTACTATGGTTCGTATCATGACAAATGTGTTCGTAGCATGTTCGTATCATACAGCTCCTTTAGTTCGTATCATATAGTACGAACTTCCTCTGGCACGGCAATGCGTGATACGAACTAGTCCGCACAACCACAGTGCATCATCCAACAGGTGTGATCCATCAAGTCTGGCATGTGCCTTGCCCGTTTACAAGCGGGCACCTGGTTGCAACGGTCAGACTGACTGACTGGAACCGGAAACTTGGATGCACAGGCATTCTTCCATATCTGAATCGTTTTCTGACCAACTTCATACAGGTGTCTTTGAGCACTATGAAGGTTTCGGACTGCTACACCTCGGCGACTCGGTCGGATATTTACAACTTCGTGCCGTCTCCACTAAACCAACGAAGCTAATGCATGCAGTTGAGCAAGAAAAACATATATATATATATATACATACGTACTGTTGCTGTACCCACTCGGCCTTATCTCGTATGCCAACCTCGAAAAGCAAGTCGACATCTGCGGTACTTGTTCAGCTAATGGCTGCAAGTTATTGAGACGCTGATTGATGTGCGGCTGTTTATTGGCAACATCTCATCGTGAAACTCTGCGTAAACGAGCCCGTTGTAACCGGCCAAACAATCTTCAAGCTTACATTATCGCTGAATGGCAAGCTTAGCATCATTTGTTAAAAAACACAGAAGGGGGAACAAGACTCACACAGCAACACTTTACTATTTCTTCAATTGGGATTTCGACGAAGGCACAAGTTTCAAGCTGACGGTTCTTACGACCTGGTGTTAGGCTCGCCGGATGTTAAAGAACAGTGGAAAATCTGCATGCTGCGGGTGCACTCGAAGTGTTCAAACGTGCTGGAGGGTTTGGGCGCGAAAGTTCATTTGCATTGACGGAAGCCAACCACGACATGCCAGCGTCCAGGATTTGGCAAATTTGTGCATGTAGAAAAGTTACCAGCCTTTGCAGGAACCACTCGAGGCAAAACTGACATGTGCAGCAAGACTGCCATGCCACAACGAACAGGCACAGCTTGGGCACCGCTCCACAGAGCAACAGGGAAGGCCTTTAATACGGTTTCCATGCGGCATGCATAGCGCAATTGGGTACACATGCATTTTGGCGTTTGCGCAAGCCCATGGCGGAACGATGAACAAAGCCTTCCCCCAGCACACCTCGTTGACATTCGTACAAGAAAACAAGACTTATAAGGGTTTGCCAGGGTATTCAGTTCGCAAATCTGGGGCTCATTTAGCATCTAGGTCCCTAGGTCCAGGTGTGGGTGGGTTTGGGGTTGAGCGCGAACTTGCAATGTCTTGCGATGTGATGTGTCTGGCGCCCGCCCTCCCGCCTGTGCTTTATCTTGGGTTGGGGATACCGGGGTACAACGATGCTGACAGCTGTAACGGCGATTGAACGAGGCTCGCCGTGGCTTCAGGGTTAGGCGGTTTAGGGTTTCTACGGCTGAGTGGGCTGTAGGGTTGAGGGGCCAAAACTTTTGGGCCAAAACCGTTGCCACAATCTGGAGGCCTGGGAGCCGCATCCAAAACCGAGAGCCTACAGCCTGACAAGGGGAGCGGAAAGACTGACCCTCGGAAATACCACTGGCCGAAGGGTGGGGTTTGGGGAGTCATGCGTCAGAAAGCGAGCCTGTCAAGGTTGTACAGAAAACGCACAAGAACAGCGCCAAGAGCCTGCAAGCGGGCGTGACGGTTCCCTCTTTGTCTAATTTTATCACCCTCGACGGTCCTCTTCAATGATGAAACTTGCCCAGCAACTCTCTCTTCCGCGTCGGAGCTGTCCTCCGCCTCGCAGCACCCGGATGGTCAACTGTTCATGGTGCTGGTAAGAATGGCCCCGTAATCCTGCAATGAGCGGCTAATCGCATTCATGGTGTCGCGATCCTGAGACATTTCACTCACAGCCTGCTACCATCTTGAAGAACTTACCAGCACGTCTTAGCACGCGGCATTGTTCAAGAATGCCTGAGTGAACGCCTGGGAGCTATCGACCCAAAGGACAATCAGCAGGCAGGCCCCAAAATGCAACTTGTTTAGAGATCGTCGCCTCTTGCATCTCTGGCGACATGCCCTCGCCGAGTAAAGAAAAACAAGTCAAGGGTTGGGT